AGAGTAGTATATGGACAAGGATGTATAAAGAAATTCTTATCTTATCCTTTTTGTCTCTCCGCGTTTTTCGGAATTTCAATGGAGTTTTTTTTTTTAAAAAAAAGAGATTTTATTTTTATTTTATTTCGTTTTATTTCGTATTTTTGAATTTTTTATTTGAAAATTGCAGATCAGAAGGACATTAAGGACATTGGAGTCAAACTCCTGACTGTTCCAATCGCATAATTTAGGTCTGATCACGATTCTTGTTACATACAACTTTCCAACCTCTACCCCACCATCGCAAGCCCTTCTCGCCAAGGCTTACTCCAGATTTCTCTTCTTTTATCTGTCCTTCCTGCCCTCTCTAATAAACTTACTTCTTCCTTATTCTATACTTCCTCCCTTTATACCCCCTTCTCCCCAGGTCCCTCCCCGATCAACCCGAATGACACATCCACATAAGACCATTGCCGTGGTCAACGCGACAGGCCGGCAAGCGGCCTCACTGATCCGCGTCGCGTCCGCCGTGGGCTACTCAGTGCGCGCGCAAATCCATTCACTGAAAGGCGTCATCGCACCAGAACTCCAACAACTCCCCAATGTGACCCTCCTACAAGGCCCGCTCCTCGGCAACATCGCCCTGATGGACGAGCTCTTCAAAGGCGCCCAGCTCGCCTTTATCAATACCACCTCCCAGTCCGGTGACGAGGTCGCCATTGGCCGTGACCTAGCAGACGCCGCAAAACGTTCCGGCTCAATCCAGCACTACATCTATAGCAGTATGCCAGATCATTCTGTTCATGGTCCTTGGCCCGCGGTCCCACAGTGGGCGCCGAAGTTCACAGTCGAGAATTACGTCCGTCAGCTCGGAATGCCGGCTACGTTCGTCTACGCCGGTATCTACAATAACAACTTCACAAGCCTGCCATACCCGCTCTTCCAGATGGAGCTCCTCGAAGATGGGAGCTTTGAGTGGCGTGCGCCGTTCGATCCAGAAATTCCGTTGCCATGGCTGGATGCTGAGCATGATGTTGGTCCTACTCTCCTGCAGATTTTCAAGGACGGTACAAAGAAATGGAATGGTCATCGGTGAGTGCAGGAAATACAATCCTTAAAAAAAAATCGGGACTTCTTCCGGGGTTTACGGACTCCCATCTGGAGTCTGTGGGCGTAGAAGATAACAACGAGAGAAAGAACAAGAAATAGGAAAATAAAAAACACACCAGCTAACACACCGCTTCTTAGTATTGCTCTCACCTTCGAAACACTCTCTCCATTACAGGTGTGCGCAGCATTCTCGCGAGCCCTGGACCGTCCATGTCAGTACGTCCGCGTGCCCAAGATCGAGATCAAGGTCAACATCCCGCCTGGATATCGAGAACAGCTTGAAGCGCTGGAGGAGCTATTTGGCAGATGTGATGCCCCCTACTTCCCACAGCCAGAGTTCTCACAGCCCGCCGCGGGTTCACCAAAGGGTCTTGGACCGGCGGGTGGAAAGGGCGCCGGTGCAGGTATGATGCAAGGGCCTGGTGGTGTTATCTCACTTCGGGTGACAGATGAGTCTCGACATCTCTGGCAGGGCTGGCGCGATATGGAAGAGTATGCGCGTGAAGTGTTCCCCGTGGAAGAAGAGGCCAATGGTCTTGACTGGATGGTTTGAGATCTTTTGAGATCTTTTGTTTTTTTTTTTGTCTTTGTGGCTCTTGCCCTCTGGCCTATTGATGACACTGCCTTGCTTTTCTTTTCTTTTACGACAGTTCGATCTGGGCGGAGACGTGCATGGTGATGTGTTCTGTGCATGTGAAGCTGCCCTTGCTGTTTTCGTTCTGTTCTTTTTTAATCATTGCATTCTTGGCGAACGGGCATGGGATATATGGACTTTCATGACTTAACCTCGGTTCTTAATCGGAAGATGCTTGGGGGTAGCATTGGACGAGGTTCAATTTTGCTTTGTGGTTTGGTTTTGATTTGATATCTGATCTAAATCACCGAAAAAAAGTTGTTTGTTTGTTTGTTTTGTTTTGCTTTCTTCTACCTTTTGCTTTTTCAATATTGCTGTTTCGTTCTATTTGGTTCAATGAACCTCATCCTCCACCCCAAGCTTCGAAAAGGAAACAGAAACAAAAATATGGAATAAGATATCCCGACTCTGGTTACTGGCCATGAGATCTATGTGCTCGAATCTACGATCAGGAATATGCCCAATTATTTCGGTTCATTTCCACTTCCACATCCCAGCAATTCGCCCCCTCTAAGAACCCCTCGATCAGATCCCGGAACTTATCCCCCGACTCTTTTTCGTCTCCTTTAATTCGTATCATCACAAAAACGTGCCTCGTGCCTGCTGGTCCCAATTGACCAGTCCTGCAGGTCCCGTGCGTCCACGTTGAGGGTTTACACGCTGAACATGCAGACCGCTCCTCTTATCTAACTGGGTCTTGCACGAACAAATCATATGAGGGGAAGTTCGGACTCGGACTCCGGAGAGGAACAGGAGTTCAGTTGAAAGGGGATTTGAAAAATAAATGCCTAATATACTTGCCATGGTGAAAAAAAACCTCTGAATATAATAATGCAGTCTGTATCTTCTATGGATGGACTCTGTACTCAAGGTCCTAAGAGGATGAATTATGAATTGGCGTTGAAATAAAGTATTCCTTATTTTTAGTTTATCTTGTATGCTTGCTTTTTTTTCCCCTTCTTTTTCTTCGGTCCCCGCTTCTTTTTGTCTAATCGGAAGGGTTGAGATAGGATGTTGGATTCTGATGATTGTGGCTATGTATCTAGATGGCGGTGCATGTTTATAGGATTTTTAGTGAGGGATGTGAGGAAAATAATCGTAGGGAGTTAAGAAGATAGGGTAAGATTATTTCCTGGCCAATATATGTTGTAGTTAGAGGCTGAGGCACTATTTACCTAAAACATATTGTTCATTGGTGAAAATGTATGCATTAGGGCTTCATTTGAAAGTTCTTAATAGACATACGGTGAGCTTTGCTATTTCCTCCAACATACATCTGTCAAATTAGAATATCAAAACATTGGAGTAAGATATAATGAATATCTTTTCCAGTCACACAGATTCAACACCTAACTGTAACATATGAACATTGAATGAACTATACACTTCGTACCACCTAGCATTGACTCTCTCCTTACCCTCGTTTATATTGTACCTCCAATATTCAATTCCAAGCCCAACTAGTGCCCACCAGAACGTTCGATAATTGAAAAGCACTAACATTGGACACGTAAAAAAAATAAAACTCCACAAGATCAGCGTCAGAGTTTTCTCTTCATGTTCTTAGCCTATGATGTAGCACTCGACACCTCAGGCCAACTATCACTCCAACCCCCACCATTGTCCGTTGCCCGGTGGACACTGTGGTACACATAGATACTTTGGTTCTCCGGTGTAGTACCATGGAAATGGAAGTACCAGCAAGTATCATCAGGTAGCTTGTCCTAGCTCATCTCCTTCTGATGCGCGCATAACAAAATTTTTTTTTTTTTTCTCCTGCCGTCCCTTAATTGTTTTCTTCCCTCTTCTTGATCTTTCCCTCCTCCATTTCTTCTCTCTTTATTAAATTGAACACTCAAGTCTGAGTGTTCGTTTCTTTTTATTTACTTTACGACCTATCTTCACGAATACACATTATGTCTAACGATCAGTCCCTCCTTGACCGCGTCGAGATGCCTAGCATCCCCGAGGCTGCTATGAAGAAGATTGCTGTTTTGGAAGAGCAGTTCTCTCGTGCTGAGGTTGAACAGTGTATGTTTCTGATTTCCTAGTTTCTATCTCTCTTTCTTTCTCTTTGGTTGTGGTGGGGCAAGCAAAATAACCTGCAGAGTCTACTCTACCATGGAAAACAAGACAATGGCATTGAGAAGCATATAGAGAGTTATGAATGAACCAATTGCTAATAAACAACACCCTATAGTGCGCCACTCTGTCAAGCTCATGACCCCCCTGATCCAGAAGCGCAGTGAGATCATCAACATCCCCGATGTGCAGGCTGAGTTCTGGATGCGCGTGTTCGCCAGTGCTCCCCCCGAGATCGACGAGTACATTCTCTCCAGCGATGCCCAAGTTCTCGGCGAGAGCCTCAAGAACATGACCGTTGAGCGATTCGAGCTTGATGCCCAAGGCAACGGCGAGCCCCGCAGCTTGCGCTTCACCTTTGAGTTCAAGACTGGTGAGGAGAACCCCTTCTTCACCAACGACAAGCTCGTCAAGGAGTTCTACTGGCGCCAGGAGGTCTCCAAGAACGCCGCTGGCAAGACCCGCACCTGGGAGGGTCTGGTCTCCGAGCCCGTTCGCATCAACTGGAAGAAGGATATGGATTTGACCAAGGGCATGCTCGATGCTGCTTGTGACCTTGCTGAGGCTGAGAAGAAGAAGGGTGGTGACCGTAAGAAGTTGCCCGAGTTCGCTGCTCTTGTTAAGAAGGTCGAGGAGGCTGAGGCTGAGATTGCCAACGCCGAGGATGATGAGGATGATGAGGACCCCAGCCCCGTTGGCATGAGCTTCTTCGGATTCTTCGGATACCGTGGCCGTGACGTCTCTGCTGCTCAGTCCAAGGAGGCTGCCAAGGAGATCGAGGCTCGCTGGGCCAAGATCCAGAAGGGCGAGGATATTGAGGAGGCCGGTGACTCTGACTCCGACGATGAGGAGGATGACGAAGCCAGCCTTGAGGAAATCGATATCTTCCCCGATGGAGATGACCTTGCTGTTGCCATTGCCGAGGACCTCTGGCCCGATGCGCTCAGCTACTACGGTATGTAGATCCCGGATAGCGAGTGAGATGTTCCTCTCCCCCCACTAACTTTGACCGCAGTTCAATCCTTCCAGATCGGCGAGGAGCTCGAAGATATGGACCTCGATATGGAGGAGATGGACGGACAGGACTCCGATGAAGAAAGTGAGTCGCGCCCGCGCAAGAAGGCTCGCAACTAAAACGCCATGATCCCCCCTTTTGATGATTTTTGCTTTTACCTAACCCCTTGATTTTGTATTATCACAGTGCAATGAGGAGGATTAATAATAAGACGAGGACGAATATGAGTGCCGCGATACAAAAGGAGGACCATGTATCTAGTCGGAAAAGTTAGTTTGAACTTGAGATTCCCATACCATACCAGACCATCCATCCCAGTAGAAATCCAGCATAGACGAAGTAAACGGGACGAAAATAAAGGAGGCAGACTTACCCTCATTCTTGCGCACAATATGCTTGATACGCGACATCCCATTCGCCAGCTTCCCCCAACCCGGTCGGCCAACGTATCAACCTCATCAATCATGACAGCCTGATCCTCCAACTCACGACCCATATCATCAGCCTGCTGACGGAGATTCCCAACAGTGCGGAAAACACCATCAAGCTGCTCATCCTGCTCATGCATAAGCTCATACTGGCGCTGCTGTTCCATGGAAGCATAATAATCATCCCCGCCACGGCCGCGCTCCTCCTCAAGCGCAGCATCAAACTCCGTAGGATTGGGCAGGGTGTCGACAGCAGAATTGGAAACAGCCTGCTGTAACTCCTGGTGCATTTTCTCGACCTCGTCACCGACATCATCGACGAGCTTGCGCCGTCGCTGCACCTCCTCTAGCTCCAGTCCATAGCGGTACGGGTCTTGTTCGATTGCGCGCACGCTTTCGACCAGATCGTTCAGGTCGGCCGTTAGCTCTGTTAATGTGCTTTCGAGCTCTGAGCGCGCTTGCTTGAGTTCGGGGTTGGTTGGGCTTTTGGCTAGTGACCGGATGCGGAGGTATGAGGAGAAGAGTGGTCGGCTGGTTTGTAGGGTTGAGACGACGTCCCTGGGAGCTTGGTGGTTAGTTATGGATTTGTGTTTTCGGGTTGAGGTAGGGCTCACGCTTGGACTTGTAGGAATGGGTCGGCGTGCTCCATGGCTGTGGTATAGGGTATCGGGTGTGTTGTTGATAGTTCTCGGCCCCGGTTTGGTCCACGGGTGAGCCTGGAGCGGAGGCGGGTGTTGCTGACTAACTGTTAGGGTGAGCTGTTTGGGACAACTGAGCAGTTTTGGCCTGTCAACACTTGACGACGCAGGACTTCAAGGACCTGTATATTTTGAAGGTGACGATGGTAGTGTGATTATCTGTTTGTTCGAAGATAACGATCATTCAACTACAACATCACGTCTATCATCTTCTACAGGTATTTTATGTTTTCTTTTTCCGGAATGCTCAAGACCTATATTCAGAAGAGGAAGGGACTATAGGCCTTCCTTCCTTCCCCATGGAGACCTATTATGCCTCATTGTGTAAACAATAACGTTGAGCAGACAAAAAAGGAAAGAGCAAAGGGCCATCCATTTTGGGAAGGTACGTGGGACGTGACCTTATAAAAGGCCTCCTCCCACCCTTCCTTCTCTTCTCTTCTTCCTCTCTCCTCACTCCTCTCAACCCTCTCGACCGCCTTCTCTCCGTAGCCCACATGAGACAGCGCAGGCGGAGGGTCCCAAACCATATGGTGCGTGCACATTTATGGAGAGATATCAGCATTACCCAGTTGTTGAAAGTCATGCCATATACTCGCTGCCAATCAATATTAAACACCAATTCTCGTGTGAGTCTTTTGATAAAGTCATGACTGAGCATTTGGGCTCCATAGTCACTGGCGGATCCCACGGAATACATGTGTCTACCTAGATAGTTACTCGATACATTCAGTTTCAGACGCGTAGCTTTAAGATTGGTGTCTACACTGGCATCAAATCCTCCCAATTCATGCTGTTATTGTCGATCTCTTCGCCGCTATGTATCCATCACAGCAGTCCCATAGCTGATATGCCCATTTAATGCGGTAACAAGACAGCACAATGCTGTATTTTCGCCGAGATCATGGTTTCAGATTTATTAGTACAACTCTCAACTCTTCAATCAACCTCACATTGCACCATGCACTTCGATGTCCACCACGTAAACCTCTCCTAACAGGTTATGAGCCCTTGTATGCTCTATTCAACCATCGTCGCCATCGTCACTGTCGACATCACCGGCCAGGCCAACCCCACAAACACCTACAAATGGTGTCACCTCCATACAAACATACCCTGACCGAGGGCTTTTCTCGCACAGAGATTTCATCCTACGCAAGTGCCTCTCTACTAGACGCACACCTCTATCTGCTAACCACGCGGCCAAGTACCTCTCCTTCCACGCACACCTCTCAACAATAAGTGCCTCTCTTTCGACGTACCTCTCCACCCGCTAACTAACGCCAAGTCTGCTCCAAGGAAACCATTGAGGGAGTTTCTTTCATGTGGAATGGCCGACAGGATGAGCTTAGGGAGGGTACTTTTGACCTAAAGCAGTGGGGGAAGGAGAGCTACGTGAATTGGGCTGAGATTTACAGAAATGTCTAGGTTGGTTATTCGATGCTTTACGTCAGTGCTGGGCCTATCCATGGCAGGAATAGGATGTTTACTTAAGAATTGGGAATTTCCTTTGAGATGTTTTGCTTTAGACAATGTTGACCTCGTGCTAAGCTACATACTTCGTAGTTTCTTTATAACAATATTCTTTCGGTCACCTTCACTAGACTTCTCAATAGCCCACAAATGGGCCTAAGCCTCCGGCCCACAGCCCAACCCGCAGTGGGCTATGGGCTTAGTCTTCAAAGCCCAGTCCAACCCACAGCCCATTAATGGGCGCCCATCAAAGCCCATCAAAAGCCCATTTCTATGCCCAAATATAGCCTTGGCACGTATAAGGTCTATATTCTACGCTAATACCAACCTATATATTCCATTTTATCATATTGTCATAGTAAGAAGTATGAATTTAGTAGATATTGTACTGATTTTAGTATCACGATAATAGATTTTATACAAAACTTTATACAAAACCACCGGTCTAATTTGACCACGAATTCGTACCTAGAAGGATCGATGAGTATTAGCATGAAGAGATATACATGGGCGACTAAGTATGCCACTGGCACATAGCCCTGTCATTGGTTATTATCTACAACAGTCTATCCTATAGAGATTCACCCGCCCCTAAACTAGCGACCAAGAGATCTGCTAATTTTCTTCAGATCCAGTTCAGATTCAATTTACTTAAAAGCCACTATGCCAATTTTAGAAGACATTGATTTTATTAACCTTATAATCTACCTAGGTAGGTATTCAGACATCTTTAAGCATCCGTAGGCTTCAATTAATACCTACAACATTAGTGGATCTAAATTACTACTGGCAATATGAACCAATGACAGAGTTATGTGGCGATGGCATACTTAGTCGCCCGTACATGTCTAGTTAAAAGGAAACATCCCAACAAATCGAGCTGCAGGCTGGTACACCCAGCACACAAGGTGATACGTAAAGTGAAGAATAAGAAGCTAGCGCAGAACAACTCTCGAGGGAGCAAGACAGGCAGCACTGTGGTGTAGATGATGAGGAGCCTAGCGCTTACGCCGAGACCATCAAGCCTAATTGTCCACTCATCTCCTAGGCGTCTAGATACGGAAGAATGCGGGCCCGTAGCGATATCCATCACGGAGACGAGGCTGGTCTTCGTCGTCCTCTACACGATAGAGTCCCCGCTCCAGGACTTCCAGAGGTATGACCTGCTCACAGGAGCGGAAACCAACCAGCGGGCGGCGTACGGTAAAAGGACATCCATTTTCATCAATATGTTTCTGTTCGAAGATGCATAAAGGGTCGATCAAAAGGATAGTGAAAAGGCCGAGTAGGTAGACGGCCCAGAGAAGGACACTGGTGCTAGTATTCACGGTCCCAGTTAAGGCAGAGCAAGCAAATGCACCAACGAAGATGAAGGCCCCAGGCCAGTAGAAACTGTAGGGACGGAAGTAATACACATTTGCCGGCTGTTGAACATTTGACATATCGGGGAGTGTGATTGGTTCGTCAGACATTACGAGAAGTAAGGAATGATGGTAATAGGACTAGGTATAGATATGTGGCGAGTGACTTAGCAGCGAGGTGGTACTAGATTGAAGGGAATGGACGACCCCTGGGGCGGAAACCTTGGAAGCATGTGCTGCTGATTAAGCGAGTGACCGGGGCCCCATATGTTGTAATCACCTAAGAAAGACCAGTTAACTAGTACCATACATACTGAATTACCGATATGCTCTACCGAGATGATTAGTATGCTATTGGAACTTAGATGTGATATGGATAGCCGCGAGTGCCCATTCTAGACAAGCTTCATCCAGGTGGTTCCGCACCTCAATCCATCGATATTACCTAAGTATGTTAGAGTCCCGGGGTCGCTTCTGAAACTGGTGGTGTCGGAAACTACCTACATATGTAGGTATCATGGGTGTCGGAACCTATCAGGTTCCAAGCGTATCTTCTAATTCCATCCTTGCCATTCACGTACTCTTTCACCCTGATTTTACTTCCTTTCTCTGCCGAACTTGAGATTTCTTTCACCATGTCGTCTTCGTCAGCAGCAGCTACATCTTCCTTCTCGCAAGTGAGCGCTCATTCAATGGGCTTCTGCTCAATATCATCCACCTCTTCTCCGTTCGATGGCCCCGTTAGGCTACTCTGAAGTGCATTCAACAATTTGAACAGGACCGGGACAAATACGCAAAAATGCTCAAGAATGAGGCATACTACCTTGGACATGTCGTTGCTGGAAGCGGTATGAACCGTACCCGGCTTGATAGGTACCGCCGTCGAGTGGCGGTTGACTGGGCTCTGATCAAGATGTCGGAGAATAGAACCCGCCGGCAAATGCATGGGGATTGCATCTCTGGAAACAAGGTAAGTTGGATGTCATATGTAACTTTTCTCGAGCTAATTCATAAATCTTTTAGGGGTTCCAGTACTGCAACGCGCCGACCAATCCTCCATATCAAGGTGGTTCATTCCCGGATGTCCGCAACGGATTGAAACTTTATAAGTCCGGGCGATCTACTGGCATGACAGCTTCCGTGCATCACGGCTTAGAATCTATTGAGATTGCCCGACTCCAAAGCAAGAAGGGAGCCGGATTCCATCCCGTCATCACTTGGGTTAACAAGATTGCAACTTCCGAGAGCTCCTATCCATTTGCAGTTTTGCAGTAGAAGGAGACTCTGGGTCTTGGATAACCAGAGCGGATGGGAAGATTTTCGGAATCTTAGCTGGGGGTGATGCGCGGCAGGGAACTACCTACTTCTGCCGGATAAATGGCGTATTCGATGATATCAAGGATATCACCGGTGCAGCTGAAGTTAGAATCGCTCCGCCGTCAGTTTCGTGACTTGTACTTCGTCTTTTTTCAAGAAAGCAGACTTTGTTTATAATACTATACCTAAAATATCGGTTATTAGGGTATTATCATGTCTAAGTGCTTGGAAATACTCCATACTACTAATGTAGTATATCTATCTCTTACTTGAGTGTCTTCAATTTATATCTACAACAGTCTACCCTATAACGATTCACCACCCCTAAACTAGCGGCCAAGAGATCTGCCAACTTTGTTCAAATCCACTTCAGATTCACTTCAGATTCACTTCAGATTCAATTCACTTTAGAAGTTCCTAAACCTATATAGTGAATCCTATATTATACGTATTGTGATAAAAGGCTTCTTCCGTCTAAGTAGAGGCCCATTCAAGTCAGGCTCTAAGGTCGTTGAGGAAGAATTCCTACTCCTGAAAACTACCTGGCCTAAGGTGCCGCCGACCAACAGATGGCAGGTTCAAACACAGCTGGGACTAGAGACCCAATTTTGCAAAGCCACTGAGTATCTGGAAAGTATCCAAGCTTTCAATGACTACTTAGTGGCGATTCGAAACGGGACACCGTCAAAGGATAGTGCAGTAGGTGTTTCCTGGCATCCCTACGAACAACAGCATCGATGGTGTGTACCAGTTGCTACAGTCAAACGCCGCGGAACAGGAGAGGGCCTATGGCTGCAATAAAGAGCTTGTGAATGCCTCACTTCTTAGTTTCTTGCAAGTAGTCTGTGCGATGCACCCTGATGTGGACAGTGACTGGAATCCGGCTCGAGTACACTTGACGCTTCCTGGAGTCGAGAACAACATTTCGAAGCCAGGCTATTGTGGAAGCGAAAGATCGGGACCGCCGAAAGCATGAGCCCGAAGTCTCTTGGCAGGAAACGATGGAGATGATAACAGCCTTGTTGAATGACCATCCGAAGAAAAGCCTCCAAAAGAACAGGTAAGCTTATTCATTATGCTGTCTTTTGGTTCTATACTGATATAGCTATTAAGGTGACACTTTTTGCCCAGAATGGGACCGAGATGTACATTCTCAACACTGTTCACAAGGACGGGTATACACAGCATATGACGGGTGACAAGCAAAAGCCTTTCGTTAAACAAGACGAATTTCTGCGCATCCACAAATATGGACCATATTTGATCTATCAGGAGAAGGACACCGAATATTTTGCCAAGCTAGCCTTGACTGTAGCACTTCGTGCAAGCGAAGAGGAGGGTGGAAGGAATTAGGCCCACCAGTCTCGTTCCTCATTTGTGGTTTTGGGAGAACACTTATGTATGGGCTTTTAAGAGAAGTTGAGCATTTGAAGAAAGCATGATCATTCGAAGACCAGATAACCCACTCCATGTCTTCATAGACGAAGAGACTTGTTCTGACAATCTCAAGGCAACCATAAATAAGTTATGTAAGATGCACCAACCCCATTTCCCGCTGTTTTGTTTGTTCCTTACTTCTGCATCTGCATCTGCAGAATGATAGGATCCATCAAAGTTATACACCTGTAGGTGTATGGTAAAGAATTGTGGACGATGTTCTTAGGGCTACCTACCCTGTGGATCGACCCCAAAAGTGACTAAGCAGCCTTGGACGCCCGGCGCGGGCGCGGGGAGATAAAAAAAAAAAGCGATAACACCCCCACAGTATATCGAACGTCCCTCACTTGACGAATTGACGACTTGATTTTGTCCTTTTCATGATACCTATCCTGGTATGACGATCCAAACCCCTCTTCCACTCTCCGCTGAGTGGAACGACCCCGACGAATATGTCCAAGCCCTTCTCTCCTTCGCAACCGAATCGGTCATGTTCATGAACCTTTGCGGTGGCGTCCATATCCTCGATTTCCTGACGCGCGATCCCGATCTGTACGAGTCACTACTACCGCAAGATTGGCGATCATTCTTTGAGCATCACGATATCCACAGCATCTTGCAACTGCTACTACGAGAGGACATTGGCCCGCTGTGCAAACCCACCGAAACAAACGCAGGCCCCGATAATGGCAGGACTTGGAACGGAGGCGCATTCCCGCCAACAAGCCTCCTCGAATATATTCGCGACATTCGGCGATTTAGCTTCCGCCGCGAGTTCACCACACCTGAAGATAGCCAACCTCTCCCTAGTCATATTGGTATGGGCATGAACAAAAAAAAGAAACATGAGGTGCAGCAATTCTCTCGCTATGTCGCGTCTTTGTCGGAGACGGTCAACGAGCGTCGCGGGGAACCTTTGTCTCACATTGTCGATTTTGGGTCAGGACAAAATTACCTAGGGCGCATGCTGGCAAGCTCACCCTATCATAAACACATAATTGCCATTGAGCGAAAACACCAATACATCAGTGGGGCCAGCCGCATGGATGTTCATGCACGGCTGGCTAAGGAAGAAAAGAAAAAGACAATGCATAATGCAAAGCTAAACAAATTGAAGAGGCAATGCATCGACTGTACCGACACCCCGGAACTGGCTCCAAAGCTAGCCATTTCAGAAAAGCCCGAAGTTCCTAGCTCGGGTGTGGAAGCACAACCCGAAGTGAACGATGTAGTGCCAGAAGAACCTGCCAGGCAGGATGAAGATGACACCACCTTTAACATGTTGGGCGACATGACCCTTGAAGCCGATGATGTGCTCGGCTCGATGCACGAAAAGCCACATGTACTACACGTACCAAAGCCACGGCCAGAGGTCGATACCAGAGGCACTGTCAGCTACATCGAGCATAATATCCAAGATGGTTACCTAGAACCGATCATCGAGCACGTCGTCGACCTAAAGACATCAGTCGAGACGCGGACCAGCACAGAAGAAGTCATAATTCAACCCGAAGACAAGAAACCAAGTGACGCCCGGGTGATGGTCGTTTCTCTGCATTCATGCGGAAACCTCGTCCACCACGGGCTTCGCTCACTAGTGCTCAACCCTTCTGTTGTAGCAATCGCCATGATCGGCTGCTGCTACAACATGGTGACAGAACGATTAGGACCAGCAACATACAAAATCCCCATCCTTCGATCCGCCCACCCTCGCCTTAAAAAGACTGGATCTTCATGGGACCCACACGGATTCCCAATGTCGAAGCTCTATGAAAACTACCAAGCAAAGACCACAACGGGCTTCAAGCTCAACATCACAGCCCGATCAATGGCCCTACAGGCACCCCACAATTGGGGCCGCGCCGACAGCGAAGACTTCTTCACGCGCCATTTCTACCGCGCTTTGCTGCAACGAGTTCTTCTAGACCGTGATATCATTCCTAAACCCGACGTCCCTGACGATCTATACAAAGACCACACAGACAACCCCAATGCTGGGGGTATAGCACTGATCGTGGGATCTCTGCGAAAGTCTGCCTTCCTGTCTTTTTCTGCGTACGTGGATGCTGCAACGGTCAAATTGAGCCAGGATCCCATCCGGGGCGAGTTGGTTAAGGAGCGCATCTGCACCATGTCTGATGAGGAGCTGCAGCGCTATGAGGCTGAGTACTTGCATACGCGCAAGAATCTCAGTATTGTGTGGAGTTTGATGGCGTTCAGTTCTCAGGTTGTTGAGGCTGCTATTGTGGTAGATCGCTGGCAGTTCTTGCGCGAGCATGATTCTGTTAAGGAGTGCTGGGTTGAGCCGGTGTTTGAGTATGGTCAGAGTCCACGCAATCTGGCTATTATTGGGATCAAGAAATGATTTAGTTTGGGTTGTCGGTTGCATTTAGAAACGGTTGGGAGTTTATGCTTTAGGGGCTTGGGGCATTATGTGGGTTATTCGGTGTCCCAGTCAGTACATATCTGGTGGTTTACGGTTGAACATGATTGCATAGAATATATCGATTGGACCATGGAGAGAGGCATAGCCTAACATCGTGAATGATAATTAGGCCACTACATATCTTGACAAGGCTCTGGGGCCTAATTCAAGCTATACATTGCGGTTCAAATCCGCATCCAGCACGCACAACTACTCTATTTCTAGCCGGCTCGCAGCTTCATCATACCTACCTTTCATCAGATGGAACTAGACCTCTCAATAGCCCACAAATGGGCACAAGTTCTCGTGCCAAAATTCTCGGAGGAGGTATCCTTGCCCTTTAACTAAGCCATTATAGGTGCGAGAGAGGTAGTAGGAGGGGATGGACGGAGGAACTAAAAGTAGATTGGGAAAGCAAGATAGAAGAGGATTGAAAGGTTGCAATGTTAACCTCGTTTTGATTCCGCTTGAAGATTATAAATCTAATCGCAACTATTACCCATGCATTAGGTTTATCTAACAGGCTATGATAGCATTGACTTTTATAACTTAGAAGTGCTCTCCTCACGGCCAATAAGGTTAGGGTGGCCGTCGTTCATTGGTCGGGTGACAGCGTAGAAAGCAACGCCCTCAGTCTTTGTCGAGAACTATGAATGGGTCAGCGAGTTTATACAGGTTGATTGGAGTACAGAGAACTAACCTGAGCCTTGGACCCAACATGGAAGAAGGCCCAGTCTCCAGCAACGAGGTGGTGGGTCTTGCCAGTGGCTTCATCCTGTATGTTATCAGTATCATTCATAACACAGATTTCGAAATCGATTGGGATCTTACTGTGATATCGATTTGACCCTTAAGAACATACTTGGTCTCCTCGTAGTCGTATGCGCCGTATCGTGTAGGTCCGGGCACAACACGGTATAATCCAGTGGTTAGGTAAGGGGTAGAGTGTGAGCTCTGGGATTTGATTGAGTGAAAGTCGGCGATAATGGCGCAGTCGCCCTCGGGGATAGGGATGTGCTCATGGCCGGCGCCCTTGATAATGGTAAGAGGAACGATCTTGTTGTTAGACACTAGAGTTATGTTAGCACAAGATTTTGGACAACGACCAAGTGTATCTTACTATTGAAGGGTATAGATAAAGACTAGAGATATAGACAAGTAGGTACGAGACAAGCTGTCAGCACCTACTTATATACCTAGGTACCGATTGAAACGGAGCATTCTCGGTATAGATAGTGTTATCAGATCTGGAGATACGGGGTCCGGCTCCGGGGCCGTAGCTCCCGTGCTACCCCTCAAGCTTACTCAGCTGGAACTAAGCTACAAAGAGGGTTAGTGTCATCGAACTAAGGTGGAGCGAGACATAACGTGATCGGAACCTCACGGCCCTTGGCCGGATTATCCTGGAGGAAAACCTATCCTCCATTACCTTGTCAGTATTTTGTTATAAGATCAGAGCTCTGAATGTCTCATCTGGTTGGCTCGGCCATCAACAGACCCCGGGGCCACGGTTGCTTCCTCCCGCCCCTCGTGGCTACAGCCAATAAAAGTTATCTTTAGTATTCATGGTCAATTGGAGATGGAGGGACGGCCCCGTAAGCATCCGGGGTAGCTTCTACACCCTCGCCTTACAAGCGGTGATCAGGTTTAAGCTCGACATCGAGGCTAGACCTCCGCAAAGCCCACAAATCCCAAAGCCCAACCCAACCCGCAAATGGGCTGGGCTTTGGGCCCTACCTTCGGGCCCACTGGTGGGCTATGGGCCCGGGGTGAAAGCCCACCAGGCCCATAATGGGGCCCCAATCGGGCCCAATCGGCACCAAACAATACAAATATGCCAATTCGTCGCAGCTGCATAATGCAGAATCTTCCAGTAATTTTGGGTATTTTAGTTAATCCCTAGCATTGCATGGTTATAGGCTGGTAGTATATATAGATACGGGCGACTATAGGGATCACCGTCACATAACTCTCTCATTGGTTTATATTAGTTAACTAGTTATGTAGTTAGTAGTAATATTGAACCCAGATGATGCCTTATGATACCTTAGAAAAGATATATAAAGAGACATCTAGAAAGACAATTAGAAAGACAACTAGAAAGACAACTAGAAAGACCCTAAGAAGAACATCTAAAAAGAAGATCTAGTAAGATGTCAGAGTATGTAAAAGAGAAGTTGAAATTAATCAAGACGCCGGTGATAAAAGAGGCTGTAAGGCACTAGCCAATGAGAGAGTTATGTGACGGTGAGCCCTATAGTCACCCGTATACAGAGTACAGGCCGGAGCATACGTAAAAGAAATAGTCATTAATCAGCTATTTTATGTATGCAAGACCGTAGTTTCGGCGAGCATTTTATCGATCCATGCGATAATCTTAGCCTTATGGAGACGCCATTCAAATGACACAGAAGAGAAAAGCCGCCGTTCGGAGTCTATAAACCAGAACCGATATGCATTACTATCCGTCGTGATCCCGAAAGCGACAGCATGCATCTTTTGGATTTTGGCCCGACTTGCCTGCACAGCTGCGAGTTACGTAGCCATTTGTGAGTCGGTAGAGGAAAATTCGTAACTCCGCTTAGCCTCTATAGCAATCAACGTCGCATCATTACTATATTGAGGATCATCATAGCAAAGTAACCAGTCGGCACGGCCGGTGACATGCGTATCACCGAGTAGAAGATCGACGTCTACCTCCGGATAGAGGTGTAGATGTTCGAGCGCCCCTTCATCAGAAAGGTGATGGAGCCGGTCAAGAATCAACAGCTCGACAACGACGCGAACAGAGGTTTCTGACCTATCGATTCTATGATAGTGGGAGCTTTGAAGTCGTTGGATAGTAGTGTCCACATCAGCAGACAGGGAGGCTGAGGGAACATGGTCGATGTCTTGCCGATCCCAAATGTGTTCCTGCGGATTATCCGTCACCTGCAAGACAGTACACGCCTCGTCAAGAGATTTGAATCTCCCAGCAGCATAATGGACGCCGGCGGTTTTCTTTGACAGCGCGATTTGTTGCATCAAGGGTGATAACACTGTAAGCCTTTGAACCGCAAGAGATCGAACGTTAGGATCATTGCTGTTCATATCTGCTAGCATATCCTGAAAGCTGATAATAGTTTCGAACACGTCGGGATCAACTGTAGGAACGATTTTTCGCCGCTTTGTTGGCCGGGGAGCCTGGCCTTGTGGTTGGCCTGGTGGTTGGCCTGACGTCGACGACCGCATGCTTGACTCCGATAGCTAAATGCTTGGTAACAGGGATGATCTTGATTAGACCTCAGGATAACCCACAGACCCCATAGCCCAGACCAACCCAACCCACCAAATGGTCTGGTTTTTGGGCCTATGCCTCGGTCCATCGGTGGTTTCTGGGCCCGGAGCATAGGACCATAGAAAAAATAATGGGGGCCTATGATGGGGGCCCATTATGAACCAAACAATATAAACATGCCAATTTATTAGCTACATAATCAATGCATTTTTCCCTGGTTTTTTGGGGTATTCAAATTACCGCCTGAGCTATACATAAAGCTATACAGAAATCTTCTCTCTCTTTAGGAAGGAGATATTGAGGAGATATAAACAAGAATCAAATTTGATTTTTAAAACTTTAATTTTTATAAGAGGTACTTATCTTTATTAGGGGTTTATATAGTAAATAGAGGTACCAAAAGTGTTACTATAGAGAAAGCGCTCTAGATAATATATATATTTCTCTTCATGCGGATACTCAGTAATCCTCCTCGATGCGAATTCGTGGTCCACGGGTCAAATTGGATCTTTTTAGAGTGATTTTATATGATATTTTGTATGAAACCTAGTATCATGATGCTAAATCAGTATATTATCTACTTAATTCCCACTTCTTACTATGATAATTTAATAATACTGAATATATAGGTTGGTACATGCGTAAAATACAGCCATTAATCAGCTACTTTATACGTGCCAAGACTATATTTGTGCACAGAAATGGGCATTGATGGGGGCCTCATAGGCCCCCATCAATGGTCTGGGGGTTGGTCTGGCTTCAAAGCCACAACCCATAACCCACTGCGGGTTGGTCTATGGGCTGGGGGCATGGGCCCATTGATGGGCTATCCAGAGGTCTAATTTTGATAAAGCCGATGACACGATCGTAAGACAGTAAGTGGTGTCACGATTGACAATCATCACATATTATCAATATTATCACATGTCAAGATCGTTCTTTCCTTTTTTTGTTTGCCTTCTTTGTTCTTTATTGAAAGATACTACTATGCCTAATTAGGCATGTGCTACTAAGCCTATTTGGGAAAGGGTTCATTATTTGCATTGTTTGTTCTACAGAGATCCAGCACTATATCAACCCCTCTGGATTCTCTCTACATTCATCATTCACGAGCAAGAAGGATGGGCTCGACCGGTCAAAGAGATTGATCTTGGCACCTGGGGTTTCTTATCCTTCTTCCCACCTGACAACAACAAAAGCAAAGAAACTCCCGTTGACATCAAGCACCATGCGTTACCTCCTGCGCCTGATTTCAAGTTGCATGATATTTGGCCACTACCCCGGGCCGAACGGTGTCCTAAGTCGACACTCTTCCTGATTAAGCCGGACAAGCTTGAGAAGATGAAGCAACATGTCATTTCCGACCCCGAAGCGAAGGGGGTCATCAAATCAATCAGTGACATTGTGCAAGCCTTCCTGTGGCGAGCTGCTATCAGAGTGCGATATAGGGTAGCCAATGGAGGGTTGCCCGAGTCTCTAAGACCACAGCTTGAGCGTGGAAACGGACGTTTCCGATTCCTCGTCACTTTCCCTATTAGGAAAGATGGAGGAATCGAACTGGCTTTTGGTACGCATCCGGAGGAGTTGGAGATGTTCCAGGCAGATGAAGAGTTTACGAAGTATGCTGAACTTGTAGATACGTGCTGCTGAATTCATTCTGCCCGGGTGGTTTATAGTATAGACATCAATTGATCCAATTTTCATTCAAAATGGCTTTGCAATTTAGATTATAAACTCGAGAAATGAGTTTTGTAAATAATTTTATTAGATTTGCGAGACGATTTGTTACAAGTACTATCATTTTCTCTTCACTGACATTCCAACTGTTCTCATCCTATGCCCTCATCTAGGTCATCAAAACATAACACATAACGTATGCATCAAGCAAAAGCAGTCCACTGCGTCCCACAAGCTGCCGCAACTTCTCGCGCCGGTTTACCAATCATCCCCTTCCAGAAGGCAGACGTACCAGAAGGAACGAGTTCTTCAATTTCCAAAGCCAGCAAAGCATCAAAAGTCCAATCCTGGCACCGTCCAATTGAATTTCTAGGAGCAGGCTCCTTCTCAATAACCTTGATCGCGTCGTGTCGTTGTTGAGAGGTCAGATCGGCAATCTTGCACATGCCCACAGCTCCCTTGTCGACGATCTTGGTGGCGTACCGAGGCGCAAATCCATACCATAACCTGTCTGCATCGATGATCTCGACTTGAAGGAGATCGCCGAATTCCAGGTTCCCGGGTTTGTTGATCATGAACCCCCAGTGGGATCGATGCGTGGGGCTATCGCCAGGTCCGAAGACTTCTATTGAGAGGTTGTAGGCCATTTTGTACTATGCGGTCAGTCTGAATTTCATGCATTATCTATGCAATCTTCGAGGAATGTGATGTGATGGGTATGTACCTTTGGGTGGTTTTTTTGTATCAAAAGTTCCCCTGGGAATAAATTGTTGCGAGATGTGGTATCATAGCTTGGGCAACGAACCTATACTAAAGCGTATTGGGATCAGATGACTTGGATGTGATCGAAATTGACGAATGTGAGAACCCGGCCAATTGTGCGTTGTCGATTGGCGCCATAACCCCCTCCTTGACAGGTCGAATATGCCACTAGTTTGGACTACTCCGGTACAAAACATATCCTACTGAATGTCGACAGATATCACTATAAGGTTGATATATATATTTCACTACCACAGTCGAAGTCTTCGAATCCTTATTTTCCAGGTGCCAGTGCACGAGCTCTAACTCTCCTATATTGTATGCCGCATGTCTTACCCCCATGTCTCACCCCCAGATATTCAACACAGCAAAGTCAAATCATGAACTGATATTCAATTTTGTACACGTAATGCTTAATGCTGTATGTTCAACTAATCTCCACACTCCCCTCAGGAACACCCTGCCTACTCCGCAACCTGCGTGCAAAGAACTGCATAACAGGCAACATCTCCTCTCGATTCGACGGCATCCCATCTCCCTTCCTAGCATACCGGCTCACCTCAACAAACTCAAACACCTGCTTCGTCCTACGCACCGCCTCATCCGAAACAGCCACCGAATCCCTCCCAGCAACCAGTAGCACCGGCGACCGATTCTTATCCCCGACCCTGGATCCAGACAAAGGATACGGCGCCCCGATAGAGATAACTCCAGAAAGAGCACCGACCTCACCACTATCGACATTACTATTTCCCTTCAGCCCGATCTCCCGGGCAATAGCCAGCGCAGCCATCCCACCCTGCCCGAAGCCCAGCACCATAATCTCGCGCAGCGCGTACCCGCATTTCTGCACTAGCGTGCCACGCACGACGTCTGACACGAGGATTTTTGTGCTACGCGTTAGGCCGGCGTCCATGTCTAGTGCGCCGGTCGCGGAGTCGAAGGAGACATCGTCGCCCCAGTGGAAACCGCCCAGGTCGAAGGGGAGTGGGGCTGTGCCTTGGACTGTGACAACGGTTGTTTCGGGGAGGCGGATGGCTTCCGCGAATTTTGTGAATGAGGCGGCTGTGTCGCCGAGACCGTGGAGTAGGAGGAGGATGTTTGGGGCTGGGGATACGGACTGGGAGGGGGAAGGGGGTGCGGGTGTAACGGTGACGGTGAGTTCAGACGGGAAGTCAGATGGGGCGGGGGTTTTGGTGGGCATTCTGAATTGAATTGAGTAGAGTCAAGTTGAGCTGAGCTGAGTTCAGTTGGAGCTTGCGGAGCTTGGAGCTTGAAGCTTGGAGAATAGCGCAAGGTGTGGCTGTGTCACTATATGTGGCGTAGTTCTCAGCCCCACGAATTGTGGCTACAAAGTACGTACGTATTTAGTAGGGACACACGGTACGGAGTATTCCGGACGATGTATAATGCCAAGTCTTTTATAATTCTCAAGGGTGTATTTACGGGGACAGGGTCTGACATCAATTGGGAGACTAGTTGAAGTCCGGACGGTGGTAACGGTGTAGGTGATGGTATTGCGGTTGCCTGCCATTGATCAACATTGAAATCAAAATTGATATTGAGATGGTCAATCGTTGGATGAGGTGAGTGACTTCGGTTCTTGCCTTCACATTATGCTTATAATCTATTTAGAGAGTATGATTGATGTGACATATGTTGCGTTGATCTAAGGAACTCGACTAGCACCCAGTCGTAGATAGTAAACAAAAAATATGTTTCTACACATATCCCATGATCCATCTAGACAATCATGTGCCGACTGACATGCTGATAATTATGCACCTAAGCTGATCTGCAACCAATTACAACATAAATAGTTGTGCTATTTTAGTCAAAGTGTGGCTTGAGGTCCGATACTCTCGTACGTAATTGGTTTGGGGTGAGCTCGCCGGTATTTTATTAGGAAACAGACCTAACTGTAAGTTTATACAAAACACTTCTTCATATAACCTCTATCGAGTCGCCACTTATTAGGAGGTAATAGTAACTAATTGCAGTCTTGAAGGTTATACCCGAAATTCCATGTTCACCGCCACTTTTCTCGTGGCTAGTGTTGCCGAGACTTATAAGGCGACGACAAGCCTTAGAGACAGGCTTGGCTCGGTTAAACCAGGGTGATCAGTTTCTAACTGCGTAATGAGTACCGTATAATTGACCTGAAATGGAGCTCGTATCTTCTATGTCATCTTCTTATTCGTCCATTTATAGCGGAGTAGGGCTGAGACGACCCATTTTGAGTCCATCAGATCGGCGCGCTATTGGACCTCGGTGGGACACGTACTCGTAATGCCGAGCGCAAGGGTAGAACGTTGTACTGTACAACATATGTTTAAGGTGATGGCAAGTACCCCGCGGAAAGCAGGGTTAGTAGTACAGCATGCACAGTGTAGTACCATGCTACTTATGTGTTGTCAAATTGGACAGTTGGACATGCACGTGTAATATTCCTCAGGGTAACCCCTGGACCAAACATCGGTACTGGAATCCAAAAGGTGGTTCAGCTACAATTTGGTAAAAACTCCTGGCGGGGATCGTGATACAATATCCCCCCGTATCCGTTACTATCGGTGGTCCTCCAATGAAGTCGTAGACTAGCCACACGGTGATGCCGATGATTCCACCGCAGCTCCCAATGAAGTCGTCTCCTCGTCGCCCGAGATACCCGACAATAATAACAACAATGCGAGTATCTGCTATATCTTCACCAGCCACAGGCCAATACTCTGGTAGATGTGTCTCGTTCGTATGCTGGAGTGGTGTTTTGGCCCCATCTTTGAATATCTTCATCGTACAACGTACATATATGTACATACGTATGTTGTTGGAATCAACTCGACCACTATTCTCGCGGATCGGATGGTGGGGCAACGAACTCGAGCTGAAACAGAGGGGAGAAAGCTACTCCCGACTCTTAGTACAACGTAGACTACGTAGCCATTCTAGAGTATTCCTCCTCTTCCCTAGGTATAAGATCCCCTCATACCCCGCTACGTTGTACACTTCTTTTCTTCCATCATTCTAAAATCCATCTCTCACTTCCCTCCCTTTTATCTATACACATTCACAATGGCTTGGGGCTGGAGTAAGTTCAACTTTCCCTCATAAGACATCTACATCTTACTTGCTGGCATGCGCTAGGGCCCGACCCGACCTGCATAGCCGGCGATATCCCAACACCCCTCCATTGGTCACCAAAGCAAAAAGCCATGCTGACGCCAAGCCAGACGATTCCGAGAAGGCACACAAGGAGGTGTACAACGGTGAGCAGCACCACGAGGGCAAGTTCTCTCACGAGTTCGCTGCCGGTGCCGCTTCCTTTGCCGGCATGAAGGCCTACGAGGACCACCAGCGCAAGGAGGGTACGTGAAACACCGCATTTCATTCTCAATGTAATCTATCTTGGACAATATCCTGACTTGAATTTGAACACATAGGCAAGCCCGTCAAGCACGCCTTCGCCAAGGAGCTCCTCGCCGGTATCGTCGGCGGCGAGGTCGACAAGCTCGCCGAGAGCAAGGGTATGGACTGGGTTGACCGCGAGAAGGCCCACCACCACGCCAAGAAGAACGCCGAGCACATGTACGAGGAGCGTCACGAGCGTGGCAACTACTAAGCCACTCGTTCCCACGATAGCAATGGATGAATGATGATACTTGTTTTATGAGGACCCTGTGATCGTATGTAGTAAGAGAGAACGATATGATCTATCAAACAATTTAAACATCTCAACCTCGTACCTGGAAAGAGCGGTGAGGTAAGGCGTCCAATGTAACACCAGATCGATATCCGATATCCACATCCCGTGGTCGTATGTAGGTTTGTATGTACGATGCACGAGCTTGCATGACATAGTTCCGACAGACATACTCCGTACGTAGGGCTACATACGGAGTACATTTACCTGCGTCTTGAGACACTCGCTCGGTTCGACAGTAAATATGCGCTAAGCCTTAACAGGGATGCCGGGGGTTTATTTGAACCAGTCATCACCATGAGAACCCGCCGACCGCATTCCGGCCACATTCCAATGGCGTCGGTCGCAGCTTAGATACGAGACTTGTCGTTGGGTAAATCGCTCGTTTATTGTGTCCGAATTGGATATTTTCTTTTCATTCCGGATAGTAATTGATTGACCGTTTGCGAGATTGAATAATGAATATAAGTCCTGGAGTGTGGAAGAAGTGAGGATATTGGCAGTTCTTGGATTCCGCAATCTTCAGGAATCTGGCCTTGTGGGTCTAAGGATCCAGTCATAACCAATCATAGTACAGGGCTGACCAATAGTGGGTTTGTGGCCTAACAGTTCAGGCACCAAAAGCAGATGAGCTCATACACGTGCCAAAAGTATAGGTTCAGCTACCGAGTTTGCGCTGTTGCAGATTTTCTGGGGAGATTCTCGAGATTGAGTATATCGGCTAGGAATCTCGACTTATTTTTTTTCGTTCGAGATTTTTTCTTTCCGATACTATTCGTCCACCCCTATCTCTTCCCCCGGAGTGGCGGCGCTAGGCTTTGGTTTACCTTAACGCTCAAGCTTTCGACCCCTCACACTTGTGTGAGATTTGATGATCGGATCAGAGCCGGCACTCCCAGGTATAAAACCGTATGCAATGACGGTGGTTTGTTGATCAGGATGAAATTTGCCAAGTTTGTATTCCCCGGGACATTGTGCGACATTCCAGTGGCTGACTGAAATCTCCAGAGAGCTGGAACAAGAACTTGTTCCTGAGTGGCGGGCAAAGTACCTCGACTACAAGGTTGGTCGTTGCCACCATATTTGATGTACCAGAGCCGTACTTACCTGGATTGACTATTTAGACCGGCAAGAAGAAAGTCAAAGCCATCACTCGAGCCCTCCAAAAGGCAAACCGAAGTCCCCATGTCCCGTCCAATCGACAGCCCACTTCCACCCCGCAAGGTCGCGACGCAGCCTCCTCTGCTCTCGCTCCCTCCAATGCCGATAAAGAACTCGATGTAGGAGAACACAATAGCCCATCGACGCCACAGCGAGGCGCTAGCAACCTGCCATCAACAGCACGCTCCACACCGGTCGCCAAAACCGAGCGACAACCGCTTCGCACGCCAGGATCGCGGTTTTCTGAAAATGTTGGTAGTTATGGAAGCATACTCGCGACGCCGCCACAACACCATACTGCAGGTTCGGACATAGCCTCCTTTGAACTTCCGGACCCGGCACTTGACCCAGACGAGGAATATCTGCCACACGAGGATACTGCAAACAGATCTAGGCACCCCCGGACACCTTCCCCAGTCATGGATCGCCGTAGCATGGCGAACATGTCACCCTCTCACCCTGTACCAGAATCCCTGCCGGCCCAGAGTCCTCAATTGGACCAACGCACGAGTTATCAAAGTCAGATTGGGGACGCCTTGGCAAAGGTTCCATCGGGCCACCGGACATCACAGCTTCTGCGGCGCGTGTTCACGGCGGAGGGAGAGCCTGGCGGGAGATGGTCACACTTTGATGCTGGCGCTGGCGCTGGCGCTGGCGCCGAGGTTGACAAACGGCAGGACGAGTTCTTCGAGTTCTTGGATAGCGAGTTGAACAAGATCGATGCGTTTTATGTGATGAAAGAACAAGAGGCCACCGAGAAACTACGGGTCCTTCGCCAGCAGTTACATATTATGCGAGATCAGCGTATCCAAGAGGTCCTAGCTTCTAAGAAAACCGCCAAATATGACGACTCGGATACACAGCAACGGCCAAATGGATTCGCAAAAGTCAAGGGTGGTCGAATCAAGGATACATTAGCGGGAAAGAATCGCTTCGGCAAGAACACGGAAGCACTGGCGCAGATGGCGACTCCTGGCATGCAACCTCAAGAGCGCGATTTCATTGCCAACCGGAGGGACTTTATGCGACGGCAGGATCCGCAAAGTCAGGAAGTGCCGTATCGATCTGCTAAGCGTAAGCTCAAACATGCGTTGCAGGAGTTCTACCGCGGAGTCGAGCTTCTCAAGGGATACGCCTATTTGAACCGAACCGCCTTCCGGAAGATCAACAAGAAATACGACAAAGCGGTCAACGCCCGTCCCCCGCTCCGGTACATGTTTGAAAAGGTCAACAAAGCGTCCTTTGTACAGAGTGATGTGATTGAGAGCCTGATGGTAGCGGTCGAAGACTTGTATTCCCGTTACTTTGAGCGCGGCAATCGCAAAATCGCCGCCTCCAAACTCCGTCACACAATCAACAAATCTGGCGACTACTCACCGAATACTTTCCGCTCCGGTCTCTTGTTGATGGGTGGGACTCTGTTTTCCATCAAGGCTTTAGTTGATGCTAGGTCAAATCTCCGCTCGGCGGAGATCGCTGAACAAGTTCGGACCAGTTATCTCCTCCAGGTAGGTTTCTCGCCCGTTCGTATATCCTATGACCTCATTGACCAATCGAGCAGATATATGGTGGGTATTTCCTCATCGTGTTTCATTTCTTGCTCTTCTGCTTAGACTGTATGATCTGGACAAAGTCGAAGATCAATCATTCATTTGTTTTCGAATACGATAGCCGACACACCTTAGAGTGGCGTCAGTTGCTAGAGGTATGTCCTATTTCGCGTTTCATAGCTATGATGATTCGTCCTAACGAGTGTAGATCCCTTCTTTCTTCCTTTTCTTGATGGGCCTATTCATGTGGCTCAACTTCTCATGGTACAACCACATGTATATCTACTGGCCTGTCGTCCTTATTGGCTTGACGATCATTATCATTTTCTTGCCGGCCCGTGTTCTTCATCACAGGAGCCGCAAATGGTTTGCTTTTTCCAATGTGAGTTCATATAACATCATATGAGTGTCGATTGGCGCATCTAACCGATTTAGTGGCGCCTCTTGCTTGCTGGAATCTACCCCGTCGAATTTCGTGATTTCTTCCTCGGCGACATGTACTGTTCTCAGACATATGCCATGGGGAACATCGAGCTCTTCTTCTGTCTATATGCCTCGTACTGGGACTATCCTCCCAAGTGCAACTCCTCCCACTCTCGACTGTTGGGCTTCTTCCAATGTCTTCCCTCTGTCTGGCGAGCTTTCCAATGTATTCGCCGATACGTGGACACGAAAAATGCATTCCCTCATCTCCTGAACTTGGGAAAGTACATATTTGGCGTCCTCTACTATGCCACTCTCAGCATGTACCGCATCGACCTCCAAACGCGGTTCCAAGCCTCGTTCATTACCTTCGCCCTCCTGAATGCCGTCTACACCTCAGTATGGGACCTAATTATGGACTGGAGTTTGGGTAACCCATACGCAAAGAACCCAATGCTCCGTGAACTCCTCGCCTTCCGTCGCGTATGGGTATACTACGCCGCAATGCTGCTGGACGTCGTCGTCCGTTTCAACTGGATCTTCTACGCAGTATTTATCAGAAATATACAGCAGTCTGCCCTGCTCAGCTTCTTGGTCGCGTTTTCAGAAGTCTGCCGCCGCGGCGTCTGGTCCATCTTCCGCGTTGAAAACGAGCACTGCACAAACGTCCTCCTCTTCCGAGCTTCCCGTGATGTCCCTCTCCCCTACGACGTCCCGTCACCAGCTGCTCCCCCCTCGACGGCTCCGCGGAAGACGTCCAACTCCAAGAACAACAGCACGCCTCAATACCCTTCATGTCACCCGGCGACATCGAGCACGGCACCCCCTCCATGTCCAGCCTGCGCGCCCGCCACCGCCGCCCCTCGGTTGGTATCGGCCGAGTCGGCACAATCGTGGCCTCAGCCCATGCACAGGATTTCGAGCGAAAACGTCTGCCAAATTTCATGTCCAGCGCGAGTGTAGGACAGGATATGGCGCATGACGCGGATGATAGTACGGACGAAGACGACGAGGCGGATCTGAGCACAGATGACGATTCGGGATCGAGACCGGCTTCAGAGCGCAGGGATACGATGGGTCGGATCGTTGAGTAGGTTTCATAGTGGCAGGCTGTGCCATTTTGCTTATCGGTGCCATTGCCCAGGGGAGATATTTTCTATCGGCCCCGTCCGGGGCGTCGCCGTGTTTGATGTGATGTGAAATTATAGATATGTCCCAGTATTTTGCATATACTTCTTATCTTGCTATACATACATAAATATTAATACTTGGCTTTCTTGTCAGCTGTTCTCTTCGCCACAATCATATTATAAGATACGCCTACGGTTTTCGGGCCCGTGTTCTGGTCTCGGGCAGTTGTTTCCTCGGAATGTTATCCCGTCTGGTACGTGCTCCTGCCCCTTCTGTGCACATCGCCGAGCTACGGAGGGAGACATTTCCTGATACGAAATCGAGTAGGCTTCCGCGAAGAAAGACCACCTAGCCCTGTTTTTCGCCAGTGCTGCCGAGTAGCGAGCTAGGTAGGTAGTCGGGTCCTCTTCCTTTCTCTTCTTCTTTCTTGCAGTTAGTGCAATGAAAATCACCGGGTAGGTGTCCGCGAAGCTAGTGCATGGATCAAATATATGGTGTCCTGGCGTTGTTGTCCGCCAGCGCTACCGAGTAGCTAGGGGGTAGTATTGATCCCCTTCTTTGCTCTTCCTCCTCTTTTTTCCCCCGGTCACTGCAGTTCATACACTGGCATTTCTCTTTCTCTCCTCACCCAGGATGCTACTATAGCATGAGCAACGTGTGCAACGGATATTGCGTGAGGAGAACTGCACTTGGCTGCGTGTGTCCTTGCACCGACAGTTCTGAATTCCGATGTTCCCAGTCTAAGGGGGGCTGGTTGTCTCCAGAGTGCAGGTGATTCCGAGCTAGATCCTGCACAGTGAACCTAAATGTCTCGTATGGGCTAGCCTCGGGGGTGTCTAGATCCTGCGTGGCGAGCTTTTTGTCTTGGTGGGTGAGCATTGAAACTGAATTGGCCTAGCGGTGTATGTCCGCTGGTCTTTTGTATTATACCCCTTGCCTGTAGTGCAACAATCACTCCAGCAGCGTTTGGCAAAAAGCTATCTTGATGAAATAGTAGTGAATCGAAGCGACGGTCGTGATTGGTATACGATAAAAGTACACCGATTCGATATGATCGGGATATGTGAGGGGTGGGGGTTGGCAAAAAGAATCACGGATTCAGCGGTGCCGCAAAAGAGGAAGAGAGAAGAAGAAGCCAAATCAATCCAGAACGGGCTCAGAGTTTCCTGTTGGTTTGATCATCGACTAGTAATATATCTTTGCTACTGATAACTAACGTCCTATCTATTGGGGATAATCTTACTTTGTTTGTCTTAGCGTAGGACATCCATGTTAGGGCTCTGCGTGGCATTATTTCTGGAAGGTAACCCTGTGCATGGCTCGTGCATCTCACGGACTCATTTTAGAACATCTGTTTCAGAGAGGAAAGTCATTGATAAGGGTGGATCATACTACATAAATCAACTATGTTGTAGTATGAGGGGTCTATCTACTCCGTACGGAATACTTTGTACTCCATACTATGATCGACCACTTTATATGCCAATTTAAACAAACGATGAAGATCTTCCCTTAGAGTGCCCAGGTGGATGGGGCTTGTGTTGCCAAGTTCGCCCTCGACCTTTTCCAACGGGGCGCACATGGGATGGAGTCGGCATGATCCTTTTCCTATACAGCCCCAGCGCGGCTTGCAGTTGAGACATGCGCAGATTCCTATTTGGTATTTTGGTCTTCCTGGCACCGACGATCACACTATCACGTACAACATATACCAAAGGGGTCAAACTATAAAGTTAACTACCATAAACATGTGATCGGTGACCGGGTATGCCTGCCGGTCTCGGGAGCAAATGCCTCATGGGCGGGTAGCCGGAAACCGGATGCTTGGCCGACATGAAGGCCCAAGCCCCCTTTTTTGCCTTCTGCCTTTAATCCCCTCATGACGTGGGACTACATACTACATTGAGGTCAGTGTTGGTCTAAGCTTGTTCAGCTTATCTGGATTTTGTAGATTTTGTAGATTTTGTGTATTTTATGGATTTGATAATTATCAATTCGAGTTTACTTATCTTAAAAATGCATAAACTTTTCAATGCGAAAGATAAGAGATCTGATAACAATTAGTAAATGTTATTTCTTCAGACATGCTTGTAGCATAAATCAAAATGATATTGCTGTATTGTACTATGACAGACAAGGGGGCATAAGGTAGTTTAGTTAAGGTTGCACAAATTCAGACTTCTCCGCGTCTCCCCCATGGGGAAGTTCGGATCCAATTACCTTCACTTTCTTACTCCACATCAAGTCTCCACGTACTTGGTCACCGGTAAGTAACTGGCTAGTCATAAGTGTCGTAAAGGTCATAAGTGCAAAGATATGCAAAAAAAATATGTAAAATGTTCGAGGACAATTTATGAATTCCTAGTTTCAGGTGGATCTACACGTCTGAAATTGGACTAGCGTATGATTCTGGCGAAAAGTGAGTGATTATACCTGAGTATCCACAATTCCAATGTAGACGAGTCACCGTTAACTGCATTGACTCCAATTAACTAACTAACTCTTATCTGTTTCTCTGGGCGCCCCATCTATCAGGCAGATGGTCGGAGGAGAGAGTTATAAGCGGTGCAACATCCGCATACTCCGAGACCCGGTTTTTGTATCCGTACATTTTCCCATTCCCTCATTTCCCATTCTCCAATATGATAGATATGAAAAAAGAAAAGGACCTTGAAGGTCTTGCTCCCTCCCCAAGCAATGATGTCCAGACTAGTGCTATTCACAACCACGACGATGTCTTTGGAGAGATCACCGAATCCGGTCCCAACTACCGAAATGTATGTTTTTCTTTTGTTATGTACTTTTTTGTTTTCTCCCCGTAAAATTGCCAATTGGGTCAAAAAATAACACATCTTTAGGTAGGATGGGCAGGAACAGTGATCCTCATGATGAAGAGTCAGATTGGCCTCGGTGTCCTTTCCATCCCAGCTGCGTTTGATACATTAGGCCTCGTCCCAGGTATTATTTGCCTGCTCGTCGTTGCCATCATTACAACATGGTCCGACTACATGGTCGGCGTGTTCAAGCTCAACCATCGTTCAGTCTATGGTATCGACGATGCAGGTTTCCTGATGTTCGGTGCCATCGGTCGTGAGGTTTTCGGCGCTGTATTCTGCCTATGTAAGTCGATACAATTATAGTCAATATACACTCGAATCGCTTCTAACCTGTTGCCCCAGATTGGATTTTTGTCGCTGGCTCAGGAATGCTCGGTCTTTCAATCGCCTTCAATGCCGTCTCGACTCATGCCACATGCACAGCTGTCTATGTTGCTGTTGCAGCCATCGCAGGAATCGGCTTCGGCAGTATTCGCACTCTCGGGAAACTCAGTTGGCTCGCCTGGGTTGGACTGATTTGCATTCTGCTCGCAAGTAAGATCTCTCCCATGCCATGCAAGCCTCGCGCCATATAACATAGCCCTAACCGATTCGTACTATAGTCTTCATTGTCACTATCGCTGTCGGCGTTCAGGACCGTCCAGCCTTAGCTCCGCAAGAGGGAACCTGGGTATCTGACTACAAGGTTATCGCCAATCCCTCATTTAGTGAGGCCATCACCGCCGTGTCCTCGCTTGTTTTCGCCTACGCCGGTACACCGGCTTTCTTCTCGATTGTGTCTGAGATGCGCGACCCTAAATACTATACTCGGTCCCTGATAATCTGCCAAAGCGTCGTGACGGCTGTCTACATTACTATCGGTGTGGTGGTCTACTACTTCTGCGGTTCTTACGTTGCCTCGCCTGCTCTTGGTTCCGCCGGTGCCACGATGAAGAAGATCAGTTATGGCTTTGCCATTCCCGGCCTTCTGGTCAGTGTCATGCTGTTCATTCATGTAAGTACTTCCTCTCCCAGATCTCAGAATCTCTGGATCGATGGATTATGAACTAACCCAACACTACTAGCTCCCCGCGAAATTCATCTTCGTCCGCGCCCTCAGAGGCTCCCAGCACCTCACCTCCAACAGCATGGTCCACTGGGGCTCTTGGATCGGCTGCACCGCAGGAGTCGGTCTTATTTCCTATATCATCGCAAGCGCCATTCCAGTCTTCGACAGTCTCGTCTCGCTTATCGGTGCTTTGCTCGGCACATTCATGTGTTTCCAACCCATGGGCTGCATGTGGCTGTACGATAACTGTGGCAAGGGCAAGGTTGACCGATCCCCGAGGTGGACGGCCATGGTTTGCTGGAGTGTCTTCGTTGTTGCTATTGGTACTTTCATGATGGTCGCTGGTACATATGGCTCCATCGTCAGCATTATCGCAACCTATAATGCTACGGGCGGTTCGGCTGCTTGGTCCTGCTCGGATAACTCAAATTCTTCATAGATCGATGGGATCTAGAGGTCAATGATTGTTTTTTCTACTATATTTTATACCAATGCATTAGGAAAGCTTATATATATTGGAAGCTTGTTAGCAATATCATACATTTCAAAGACGTTTTGTTGTGGTGGCCTTTACCAGGGAAGTTGCTCTGAGGTCTGGCCTATTCGGGCTACTGGGCGATGCACCTGTTCAGATGGTCGATGTTGACGATGATGCTCGGTTGAGGGAATTCCAAGCACTATACCGGGAACACGTATTGGAAAAGGAACCGGTCGTGCAAACGCTTTTCGAAACATTCACCAGTTCTCTATTCAAAACGGCCGTGGAAATATGGAAAGGAAAAGCTGAATGGATTATCCTCGCATACATGTGGCAGTCGGCTCGAGACAGAAAACTCGGCATTCTTGGGATCAACCCGGGCTCCGCTTGGCTGCCTCAACTGTCGGAGCAAGAGTACATCTATATGGACCCAATGAGCAGCACCCGTGGGTGAGACATGCTAGGCAGACTGCACCCAAGCTGCGACTGCGGATCATGATGCGATATTGCACCAATCGGTGTTATATAAAGGAGCGACTTCCCATAGGCTTTAAATAGAAAATACCAATGCAGATTCTTTTTTCAAAAAATAACACAACAGTGCGTCACGCGCTGCAAGCCTCAGCAATATGTTTATGTACATCGTCCGCCTTGGAAATAGCCTGGATATGACTTGGTGATTGTCTCGCGGCATTGGACACGGCGACATATTTCCTCACCCACTGCTCCTTCCCCTCCTCCTTGGCTTTAGCGTTGAGTTTGTCTATGGCGGTCGTGCGAATAGTCTTCGCCTCGGCCATGTCAATCTATGTTGTATGTTTCCGAAAAAGCTGGCTCTCACCGCTTCTAAGGATAATTAGGTCACTTGAAGCAGAAGTAAACTCTTTCGACCTGCAAGCGCAACGGATCTGTATCCTTTTTGACCCCATTTTCCTTCACTTACCGAATTCCTTCCATCAAGATGTCCCCAAATCCGAAACCCGACATATTCACATACGCCGAGTTTGACCTTCAAGCTCTGTGCCGTCAAGCCAGCGCGCTGCGGCAGGGTGTTTCATGTGCTTGTGACCCCGATCAACGTCCTGCATCGGGAAGTTTCAACTGGGCTATCTTTATTTCGTTTGAAGATGGGGTACGATGGGTCTTTAGGTCGCCACACTCTAGAACGTTTATGCCAATGGAAATGGGAATAAAGCTACTGGCAAGTGAAGCTGCCACGCTGCGATACCTTCGGGCTTATAGCGATATTCCAGTTCCAGAAGTATACGACTATTGGTAACGAAATCCCCTAGACCGCAATCTTTTAGTGCTAATCTATCACAGTGCTTCGTCCGATAATGACATTGGTATCCCGTTCATTTTTATGAGTGAGGCGCCTGGTAGGCCGCTGTCAGAATTTTGGAGATCAGCCAGTTCTCCTCAACCGGACCTAGAGACTCCTACCAAAGCCAAAATTATCTCCCAGTTAGGCGGTATTACCTGGAAACTTTCGCAATTGCGATTCGACAAAATAGGCTCGCTCTTTGAAGAGGATTCCTTCGAAATCAAGGAATGTCTCTCACGTGGCCATATGTTACATGAACGATATTCTTTAGAGATCCCACGAGGACCTTTCACTTCCAACGCAAAATTATATGACAGCCTTGTTTCTGCGTTCTTAGAGCATGCAGAAATTCTGCAGTTGACACATCATTGCTTTGTGGCACCCATTCCTTCGCGGGACGACTATCAATCCAGCATACAATACGAGAGCGCTGTGGAACTATGGAACGACTTTGTGGCCGTTGGAGGCAAGACCGACTCGTCGGACAACAGATTGGATTATATTATCGCAGGCGACGCTCTCCGCGATATTATACGGAAACTTGAACTCCCAACCGTCAATTCGGAGACTTTTCCGTTATGTCACCCCGATCTGAGTGTCAATAACATATATGTTGATGATGATTATAATATCACCTGTGTCATCGACTGGGCATTCGCTTCATCCGTTCCTGAATCAATGCTTTTAACCGCACCGGGATTGCCACAATACCGTGACGAAATTAGTTCAGAGTTATACATACCTTTTACGGATGGCTTCATTTCTGCTATGCCTCGTTCGATGGAAGAAAGGTCGATCCACAGATATCACGATTCCCTAGAGCGGAGCCAAGTCTTCTGGAGATTGAGCCGACTCCTCAACCTAGACTCAATTAGTGATTACACCCTCTTTGCTACGGTTTGGCACTTTGCCTATGGACCTAAACAGGACCTAGGCCAGTACTTCTTACGACAGCGGAGTTTGCCTCACTACATCCAGCTTTATAGTGAAGTTCAACAGGAGGATCAGCCACTCTCGAAAATTCAAAAGGAGGAAAAAGATTATTTTCGAAACAAAGGCCTCAGAGAGACAATAGCTAAAAAGTTGACACTTGTGTCCGAATGGAAAACGCGTTTTACTGCCACTCATTCGCCGAGACTTCGGAAGGATATGTTTATCGCTTCTCCCAAGTTATGGAAGTGGATTCAACGATTTGTGCAGGACTGGGAGGACATGTCTTGACGAGTCTACACCAGACATCAAAATCTCAAGCGAATGCGCTCAACTGGGACATCCCACAGATCATTAGTCTCATCATCTTTCACCTTGAAATTAGATTGCACATCAAACATTGTTTGGGGGGAAATACCGTTTGCTGGGGCGCTGTATTGGGCGCTTGGCACGGCCATACCCGTGTATACGTAAGCAGCCACGGCCCCATATTTGGCTTATCGCACGTGACCCGTCACATCATCCAGGGCTCCACCTCCAGGTTTCACTCCTCTCTCTCTCTCTTTGTCTGTGATCATCCAACATTATACACCAGCGCTGAGAGATTAAAGATATCTCAACTTACCACTATGGCTGCAAACACCAGATATGAGCCCGCTCCTCAGCGGGACTCCTTAGACGACCCGTCTTACTCCCAAGCCCCTCCCTCCTACCAGGCTACAGCGGCTCCAGCAGAGCCAGCGCCTCGCAGCGAGGACGACAACATCCCAGATGATTTCAAGGTATGCATGCACCATGCCATTTGGAGGACTTTCACCCAGCTAGAAATATGGAAACTGACAAAATCGCATAGTTCGGAGGTACCGTGGCCGAGGGAACGATTGACATCCGTATGCAATTCGTTCGCAAAGTGTACTCTATCTTGTAAGTTGAACCCGATTTACAAACTCAGACCCAAGCGCGTGGGTTCTACGAACCCCCTACTGACACACCTCACCCAGAACGGCCCAACTCCTCCTCACAACGATCCTCAGCTCAATCTCCTTCTTCAACGACTCCTACCGCGTCTGGATCCAGTCCAACTTCTGGTTGATGATAATCTCCGTCTTCGGCGCTCTGGGCTTCATGCTCGCAACATTCTGGAAGCGAAAGTCCTACCCAGCAAACCTGCTCTTCTTATCAGGCTTCACAATCCTCGAAGCGTATTCAATCAGCGTGGCGACATCTTTCTACGACGCGAGGGTAGTGGTGCAAGCGCTCGCACTGACACTTGGAATTTTCCTCGCCTTGACCCTCTTCGCATGCCAGACAAAGTATGACTTCACCGACTGGATGCCATACCTGTTCGGCGCGTTGTGGTTCATGATCCTATTCGGGTTCGTGGCTATGTTCATCCCGTTCAACAGCACCATTGAGATCATCTATGGTGTGCTTGGCGCGCTTATCTTCTCGGGTTATATTCTCGTCGATACGCAGCTAGTTATGCGACACTATCATGTCGAGGAGGAGATCGCTGCTTCGATCTCGCTTTATCTCGATGTGCTTAACTTGTTCATGTCCATTCTGCGGATTCTGAACGGTGCTAACAACAATAATTAATTGCGTTTTGGGAAGTCCAAGGGGCGAGAAGGGATATGTGCAATTCCTGGCTTAATTGCCTGCCTGCCTGCCTTTAGCAGGCTCTGGTCCGTATGGCAATTGCCAGACAAATAAGCTTACGTTTTGGTGCTTCAGAACTGGTTTCGGGTGAGGGTATTCGTGCTTTACATCGGGATTTGCTTGAATCGCTTTCTATTGTACACTTCTCTTCATTCATATCTTGATTTTTTTACAAGTCTGTTCGTTGTAAGTCTGCTCGGAATCATATCGTCGCTCTTATTTCCTTACCGAAGCAAAGTAACTAGCCAGAATATACCCGCATAACAATTAGCAGCCAACATAATATAAATTAAGCAACCAAATCAAATAGGTACAACTCTCCAAACGCCCAGCACGGACAACCCGATCAAATGAAATTTAAACTATGCAAAGAGCAATACCCTATAGGGTAGACAAAGAAGCGAACATCTAGAGCAACGCGCAAAGAAAACAAGAATATGCAAAAATGAAGGAGCCTGGTGAACAGGAAAGAAAATCCAAGGAGCGAGGTTCCTCGGACTGTATATGGGAGGGTCAAAGATCATGAAAAGACCAAGCCCGGACCAACTAGAGGGGGCACGAGAAGTTTCATGCGGAAAGAAACGTGCAAATTAATGCGAGGTCTTAAAGAAGGTGTTCGTAATCAGACACACAATCATAACAAGGAAGCCGTAGAACGCCAACGCCAGGCTGAGTGGGCGAAGCAGTGCCTTGCGCCAGTGGCGGGTGCCACGGAGCAAAAGGCCACTCTCGGTTAATGAGCGAGCGAGGGAACCCTCGCCGTCATCTTCCTCGTCATCTCCCGACAGATATTCCTCCGCCTCATCGTCCTCTTTCATTAAGCCCCGGTAGGTAGGCGAGTCGGGCGAGGAGATCTTGTAGTAGAACAAGCCCGGGAGAATGAAGCTGATGCTCGTGCTACCAGTGCTCCCGACGTATGCCAGTACGGATTCAAGGGAGGACACAGTCATGGCGACTAGGTAGCTCAGGATCAAGATTGTGGTTGTGATGACAGAGAAGCGAAGATCGCTCATTGGCTCCGGCGTGCGGTTTCCCCGCGGGCCTAGTAGTGGGTGCCGGTTTGGAGAGCGCTCTGCGCCAGTGACTTGTGGACTGGGGCGCCATTTAAGGACAGCATCGACTGAGGCTCGACATGGGTGGCATTGTAGTGGGTAAGAGAAGACTACTAGCATAACGATTGCGGCGCGGCCGATCGTTGCGTACACGCCTGGTGGGTACATGCCGACGATATTGCCGCCTACGCTGTTGCCAAAGGATAAGTATCCGGTAATGGCAACGAGGATATAGGTTCCAGCTGCACTGCCGGCGCTAGCGAAAACAACGGCAGTTGTGCGGAAGTGGCTGTTATTGCCGATTTCGTTTAGGATGGAGAACATCTGGAATGGTTGTTAGAAAAGAACACACGGGTGACAACTGGGATACGTACGTTTTGATGGCAAGTAAATGCAAAGACAATAACTGGCAGACTGCTGAGAGTTGGAACCGCGCCCTCCCAATGGCCCACGCGAATCGGGCCTCGATCCTCCGTCGTGTCTCCTTGGACAAACTTATACACAACCAGAACAACCAAATAGGCCATGGAAACCAAGGCTGCAATACTGGTATATTTCAAAGAGTCTAAGCGGCGCAGGTAGGAAATAGGAATCACGATCAACCTAAAGAAGTCAAATGGTCAGCACTTCCCCTCGATTCGGCACAATGCACATGGTGACGCACATAAAAGCTGTAACCCAAAAGTGGCGGTCCACCAGGAAATCATATCCTGGCTCGCTGCCGACAAAGCCCTGTACCACCCCCGGCATGAGATCTCCTATGATAATGAGATAGCTCACGCCGACTCCGAAACATTTGATCGCAATCGCACAATCAAAGACCACGGCTGCATTAGGGTATGTCAACTGCGATAACGCAAAAAATGAGGCGCTTCCACGGTCCAGATATTGTGCGCATAGCGATTGCAGATAGAGGCCGAATCCTGCAGTGGCTGCAGACCACAGAATCACGCAGACACCGAGGACAATTCCCATACGGGAGATGGCTAGCGGCATCGCAAGAACACCGGCACCGACGACTGCAGCGAGCGATTGAATCAGAATCCGGGGCACCCTATGTATTGTGCGATTGCTTGCACTTACTGGTATTGAGCAGGTTGATCACACTGCTGGACCAACTGGCCACACCCACCACATCTCCAGGTCTTCCGCGGACTGAACGCCTAATGGAGTCCAAATTAGCCCCTGTTGACATCAAGACTTTGTGTAGTAGCTTACTTCCGCATCGAATTCTGATGTCCCCCAGATGAACCAACTCCGAGCGCGGCCTCCTCCATCTTGATATTTGTTATCTGTTGCGGAAATGATGTTATCGGGCAAAGATAGGCGCGCAAAACATAATTAACGGCCGCTACCAGCGGGGCCGAGATCAAAGGAACAAAAGAGAGATATAGAGTAGTTGTAAAAAAGAAAAGAAAAGAAAAGCCCTGGAAATTGGAAAAAGGGAGAGGAATAAAGGAGGGAAAGATCCGTGGCCAGTTGAAAGCCTTCGTAGCCTTCCAAGACTTATCGGGATGACACATGACCGGGGCTTCCTCGGGGCCAACCCTTTTTACATAAAACCGAACCACTTTGCATTCCTACAACATGCAGATTACTACTCCCTACACTCCACCTGGGCATTATTTCAAATATTTGTATAGATTGTATATCCAATCATACACATAACCTAATAACTAATCATAGCTTCGTCAATCCCCATCCTTTCTGCGACAGGAGTTGATAACTCTCTTCCTCAACAGCATGATGATCCGACGCCGTGGCTCCAGGCCGATCACCAGGACCTGGGTCATTGAACTGACCGACAGCTCGAACTGTCTTTGACACCTCCAGAATTGTACCTCCCTCCACCTTAAACTGCGGCCCACGACCCGACCGGTCCCCGATAATCTCGCCCACCTCTTCCTGCTGCACAAGCGCCAACATCACCTCCGCCACTTCTTCGGGTGTTACCCACGAATCACTACTATCATCAACCATCTTTATTTTCTCTGGATGATCAGTCCAGAGCGGGGTCTTGATAACACCCGGAGCCACGGCCGTGACTCGAATCCCAAGCTCCTTGTCGAGCTTGGCGAGCGCCCGCACGAAGCCGCTAATGGCATGTTTCGTGGCGCAGTAAATCGGAGCTGCGAGGTTCGCATTCTGGCCTGCAATGCTGGAGATATGGACGACATGCTTCGGGCGGCCGCTGGTACGGTTGTTCTGGAAATGGGCAATTGCCAGTTGTGTCGTGCGGATCGGGTGGGTGACGTTGATATCGATCAAAGCGTATCGGCCACCAGAGGCCGGGTCCCTGCTTTCGGCTGAGTGAGGCGGGCGCCAGAAGTTGCTCCAATTCTATATGCATTGCGGCTATAGTTAGATTCATAGTCTTGTTAGGGTTGTTTTGGTCTTACCGGCTCGTAGACTCCCGCGCCCGGGCAAACAATATCAATCTCGCCGAACTCCTTCTCGGCAACCTCGAACATCCGCTCGAGCTGGACCCAGTCAATCACATTAGTCTCTTGGAAGACCACTCGTGCGGCTCCGGTCTTGTGCTTATCGGCTAGCGCTTGTGCCTCGGGCCGTAAGGCTAGGTCTGCGATTAGGACATTGCAGCCGTTTTCCACTAGCAATTTGGCGAAACTGAGGTTGATACCTGGCTACAATGTAAGCTGGTTATCTGATACTGTAGTTTACAGAAGACATACCGGAGCCAGCTCCAGTTATAATGGCAGATCTTCCTTTCACCGCGAGAGACATGTTCAGAGTATTAATGATCAATGGGTTACGGCTTCCAGCAGGGGATTCTGCCCTCTTTTATGCAGGAAATGGACCTTGTGGAACTTGCTCGGGGTCTTTTGCAGCGCACTCCGTGTCCACTTCTAGGGCTCGCGGGGTAGAATGCACTTAACCGTCGAGAGGAGAGGAAAGTGGACCGAGGCCGGCGGGTTGGCCGATATTCCTGTACATCGTTGTTGGCGCCCAATGGCAGTCTATTTCCCCGTCTTCCTTGTATATGAGGTCGTCTGACACTAGTTCCCCTCTTGTTTGCATTATGTTGTTCTATTTATGGAGGTACTTACGTACCTTGTTCGATGTAAAACTATATGTATGCTACCTGGGTAGTGGATTTCCTCTGCCACTCTTAGAGCTCAGTCCTTGCCGCTTTTTGCTCACTGAGTAGAACTGAGCACGCCCCTGAATATTATATAATCACCATGCTCCCGAGGTCGCTCACTGAGCATCACCTGATTATTACATAAGCTCAAGGACTTGCTCACAGGAGCAAAGCGCGGGGAGCAGCTAAGTCAGCAGTTCACCTCAATAAAATGCACCACGCTAGATCAATTTAGCGGTCGACCCTGGTTATTGCGCCTCTAGCTGAGAGGCAAATTGATAGTAGGGCTACGTTTATTGTGGACTACGGCATCGATGGACACTGGCGGAGAGGTTTGGTTCGTTAAGGAGCGTAGTGACGAGTGTTCGACGTCGACGTCGACGTCGTACATCACGAGATACCTAGGTGGTGCCTATATGTGGGGCGGAGAAGCGTAAACTTACTGTTATGTGGTTGGCAGTCGTCCGCAGAACGTTCTATGGCCGGTAGAGCGCAGAGGGTCCGTCTGCGCCACCGCAAGTTGAAGGCCCAAACGCAACATATACGGACTTAAAGGTGGAAGAATTGGTGCACATTCTTGCCTAGCACAGATTTTGACCTTTGGCGCGGCCAGGATATGCTACCAGTTGTAACTATTGAGAGCCAAGGGAAAGGAAAAGATGATGTATGACTGTTAGACCACTGGACCGGGATATCATATTTGGGCATGTCACAGTTCTCGCGCCGAAAAGAAGCAATGTGAAAAGACCGAAACGCCCCGGGAACAACTGATTTAGTGAACGCGGATCTTTAGAGTGAGGGGAACAGTGCAAAGGTGTTGCTAGAGCGCAAGGCGTGTTACGGAATAAAGCGTATGGTGGTAAAGATCTGAACGCTTCCCTCCACACCTGGTAACCCAGGGGTGTAAGAGACACCAGACAATTCGATAGCCGAAAGGTAAGCCCTCCCAGAGAAACCTCTGGATTAACCGGACATACTACCAGTGTGTTACAGAATAAAGCGTATGGTGGTAAAGATCTAAACGCTTCCCTCCACAAGGCGCACCACGAAACAAGAAATAAGACAGAAGGAAAAATAACGAGCAATTCAGAGATGGAGCAGGAGGTCCGTCATGTCCGCAAAATCATTTTGATTTAACACGACGTCGGTTTCATTTGCTGCTGGGGGGCGGTTGTAGAGAGCGGCGAATGGCAACACCATCGGAGCGCCCGTCACCAGGTTGGGCTGTCCGGCGACCACAGTAGAAGTCACCTCGACCACGCCAGCACAGTACGGCTGTTGAAGATGCGCGGGCTATAGGGTAAGTGGCGGCGTGTTTGGAGCTTGCGCGCAGAGGGACCTAATGGTTGCGCGTGTGAGGGGTCGGTTGGCATTTGGCGCCATTTTTCGTAGTAAAGCTTACGCTTTCGCACCGAAATCAAGATAACAAAACGGATTTCTCCGTTAGAATCTGCGAACCACTTGGCGGCGTCTTATCGGAGCAGTGGGAGAGACTCTTTGAGACTCCAGTTTCGACGACCAGGGTGGGCCAGCCGAATGTTGGTAGGCAACGGGAACGTGGGACAAAAATATTATCGCCCTCTTTTCCTTTGCCAACGGTAGGGCGGTACGTCGTCGACCCGAACCACGGGCACTCGTGGGAGGGGATTCCTATAGCGATAAGCTTTGACGTCACGAGAGTTGAGAATTGATACGTCGCCCCCTCGTAGGGCCCGCTAGGAACGACTTTAATAAGCCCATTGGTCTGTTCCCATTGGAAGCGATAGTTGACTCCCCCGAGGCTGTGGTTCTCGAGCTTCTCGATGATGTTTGGTCGCAGACCCAGCACTACAATACATTGATTCCCGTCATCATGGTCCTCGAACCACTTCATGCGAGAGAAGGTCCGGACGATACGCCCTTCTGGAAGGCCTGGCATGAGAGAGGACGCGGGATTGGGGTCTTCCATTGCTGGGATTGGTGGGTGGGGTTGATGGGTACGGGCGACTAACTAGCCTCTTTTGCCTTGTTTCATATCTTGTTTCTATGTACTTTCAACCACAACAGGGATATCCGGGCTTGGCGTACATCCTAACCTATAATGAATCAAAATGTATCCCTGGCTTTTATAGGCATATTCTGAACCCTACTATATCAACTGCCCGGGTGGTCTAGTGGAATGATTCGCGTTTAGGGGGTTAACCCTGAACATCTTTAATACGCGAGGTCCCCGGTTCAATCCCGGGCTCGGGCCGATTCTTTTTGCTTTTTTTTATTACTTACTAGTATGACAATAATTGGCCTCATTATAGTGCCTCTACAGTTTGGATTTTCTCTCCTCTCTCGGTTTTTACGAGGGTGGGAGCTCCTCCTTGGCGATCGGTGGCTGTTACACTAGGATGAGAAATATCCAAGTATTTTATCAACAACACGAGAAATAATAGCCGAAGGTCGCTCAAGAAGGTTATTGTGTTGTAGCTCATCGTACTAGACAAAGAGACGAGGAACCAAGGAGACGGGAAAATGCAAAGTGAACGGGTTCTGAACCTAATATAGCAGGAGAGCGGCACAGCCAAATCAGCTCGACTCCTAGATAAAGGGTTTAAACTTGAATAATTGAATCCGACCCTGAACACCTGATCAACTTCCCCGACCAACTTGTTGATCACCATCACTATAATCAAATGGACTTGGAAAACTGTCAAATTCTAGTCCGAATTTGACCTCGTCAATTAGCTATTGTGATGATCGTGAAACTGAGTATATAGTTACCTACGTCTGCAGAGACACCAAGGATTGATGGAACTACATTACCCAGATCCTTGACATTTTCGTCTGAGCGTAGACTGAGTGCTCAATAGATGCCTCTGAGTAGTCTCTGAGTAATCAGAGAGCGATCAGTGAGCATCCAATGAGACTCACTGAGCGCTCACTGAGCGTTCATTGGAGATCACTGATTTATCACGTGACTAGTCTGAGCCCGGACTGAAATGTACTCAGTGAGCCTGACTCTGAGCGCCCTCATAAAAGCGGCGGCAGCTAAGATAGGAAAGCCCCACCCGGCAGAGGAAATCAAGTACGTATAGCTACCTAGGTATATACTGCAGTTTCATATCAGCAAGTGGGACATTACAGTAGGGCTCGGCACGCCTGCCTTTGATATATTAATTCGAAAACTGTGGAGACCAGGTGGATTACCCTCAAAAATTGGTTCAGGGAGTGCTTGTCAAGCATAAGAACGATCTACGAGATATCTACTCCGTAGACCTTCGGTAGACCTGCTCTGTCCAAGCAGTGAATAGCAGCGCATATAGGATTTGACTGATCAGTTATCACATTCTTCAGTAACACCGTGCAGCTTCACTTCAAGGCTGCAGCTAGGGTCGTGATACTATGGCAAGGGGTATTTCAATTCGTTCATACATATGTACCTATACCGGTGGTAGTACTTGGGCTTCGTCACAATCCAAATATTCTATCCCGAAAGCATTTTCGACAAATGCCGGCTTGCCGTATGCCCGGATGATGTATCATGTTCCTGAGCGGCTAAATCCTGGACAAAACCTATCTCCACTATTGCCATCTTTACCTTCATGAATGTTTCTTTGCAGACCGGATTGATGTCATGGCGGAGAATAATGGTCGGGTAGGTCTCCTAATTGAGTAATTCCTTGGCATTTTGCGATTTCCGACAGCGGCTCGACTACCGTTTATGGGATAATTCCGCCTCAACTAAGGCATGCTACGAAACACATATAAAGCACCGATGAATATCCCCGCAAATTGAGAATACACACTTGTGAATTCATTCCAGCCATGTCGATGTCAAGATTTATTCCAAAATCCGCTGTCCGAGCAGCCTCTACCTCGGCCCAGACCACCAAGGCCGCCGGTGATATCTCATCCGTTTTCCCTAGCCTGAGGCCCGACTATAAGCCGGAACCTCTCCCCGCACGGTTTCAGGAGCTCAAGGCGAAGATCTTTGAGAAAAACAAAGATGCAATCACAAAAAGTTGGGAGCGATTGCTTCCTAGCTTGGATGAGGAAGTGCAAAAGATCAAGGCAAAGGGCAGCGATGTATGTGCATATGTGACCTAAATTATCAAGAAAAACACTGACCAAGAAATACTAGATCATCCCCTCAATTGAATACTCTGATGTGATCTCTGGAAAGGTGTCTGAAGCCGCATTAAAAGAGATCCGCCACCGAGGTAGCGTGGTCGTTCGCAATGTGATCCCTCGGGACCAAGCCCTAGAGTATAAGCAACGTATCCGCGACTATGTGGCCGCCAACAAGGAGCGAGTCAAGGCCTTCCCAGCTGACTCCCCAGCTGTCTACGAGCTGTACTGGACCCCATCGCAGGCCGAAGCTCGAGGTCACGAAAGCATGCTCAACACCCAGCGCTTCATGCAGCAGCTGTGGCATTCATCCGACCCTAACAGCAAGATCTCAACCACCCACCCGCTGACATATGGAGACCGTCTTCGTATCCGCGATCCAGGGGACTCAAGATTCACCCTCGGTCCGCACATTGACGGTGGTTCCCTCGAGCGCTGGGAAGACCCCGAGTACTCTCGAGTCTACACAAAGATTCTGGAGGGGAATTGGGAGAAGTACGACGCATGGGATGCTCGACACCGCCTAAAGGCCAACATGGACCTATACAATGGTGCCGGTGCATGCTCAATGCTGCGGTTCTTCCAGGCTTGGTTATCTATGTCAGACACCAAGCCCGGCGAGGGCTCACTGCACGTCTGCCCCATGATCAACCACAGCACAGCGTACACCATTCTGCGTCCTTTCTTCGACGTTGAGAGCTCAAAACCGGCCCTGGATGCTACATTCCCGGGCTCCGTACCTGGCGCTTGCCAAGAGTATAACCCGGTTACGCACCCACATCTCGACCTCCCGGCGACTATGGTTCCAGTACCGCAGGTTGCGCCTGGTGATTTCGTCGCATGGCACTGCGATTCTCTTCACTCTGTGGATAAGGAGCACCGCGGTACTCAGGATTCCAGTGTTATGTATATTCCAGCTACCCCGCTCTGCGATATGAATGTTGAATACCTTATCAAGCAGCGCCAGGCTGCGCAGACCTATTCGCCGCCGTGGGATTTCCCCGGTGCTGGTGGACCCGGTGAGTCGGGATTCAAGGGTGCTATGGATTGGTCTGCGCTGAGCCCGGAGGGTCAACGCGCTATGGGTTTAGGCAACACTCCTTGGGAGATCACTGATGCCATGAGCGAGGGTGAGAAGGAAGCTGTCCGGTCTGCCAATAAGGCCTGCTTCGGTGTTTAAGATTTGTTTGGTTTGGATGACATTTTTATGGAGTTTCTATTTGAAAAGTTCTTCAAAGCTGTATCATAACAACTTATATTTGAAAACAAGTCTCGATTATTACTTTTAACATAATATTATTTGGAAACTACGGCATATTGGGGTCCCTTACCTCGAACCCAGCCCAGCAAGTGGCAATTCACTAGTGCTGTAGCAAAGTCGCCACTCGAAAGGCAATCTTGGCAGAAGAGGGGCAGCTTTTGCCTACTTGGACGGACTCCCCGACAGAACTCTTTTTCTTCTTCCCCCTCTCTACTCACGATATTTCTATCAAATTCGCAAGTACCTTATACACTCATCATCATGGATTTCATCAAGAAGGCTGTTTCCAGCGCTGGCGGCAACAAGGAGGATAAGCCTGCCGACAACAACACCCAGCAGAACGACGACTACCTTGACAAGGGTGAGTGACTTATTGTTCTCTGCACAATAGGAATTTTTGACTGATATGCCTCTTGTCTCAGCCTTCGCCGCCGGTGCGAAGAAGTCTGGCTACAACCTCGACCGCAACACGCAGGAGAAGATCACCGATGGTGCCCGCGAGGCCTACGAGAAGGCCACTGGGTAAGTGACACTCCAAATCCCTTGGGCTTGGATATCTGCTAATATCTGATTCTCAATACAGCAAGTCCGTCAGCGACAAGGTCTCCAACTAAACGAATCATTGGATGGGAGAGATAATTATATTTGGGGGAATGAGTGCATGAATACCCAGACAGAATCTGCGCTTATAGGATAGACATGTCATAATCAAACATGTTCACACAATATATATCGATTGATACGAATTCCATGTACTTCGTAGTCCATCTCATCACCGAGCCCATAAAATCTTGGGATTGAGGACCATATGAGATTCGCCACGATCAATGATTCAATGTGCTATAAGAGGAGAGGGGAAGGTACCTTGGGAAGGTTTCTGCCCACGCACAATCTTCTTGATTAAGAAGGGATCGCCATTTGTACCATGGACTCTTATCAAAATCAACCAAAGACATTGGCGGAGCTCAATAAATGCATCACGTTACCACGGAAATCAGTAGTGCCGATCTCGATAGATCTCGCCTAAGTGGGTCCACAAAAGGTCAGATCATCAGTTATGATTGGCTCATCTCAATAAATTATTGTCTATCCTAAAAAAAGAGAAAATAAGGGCGGCATAGATAGCGAGGTACTTGCACGTGTCCTTAACGGAATATAAACATCCCACCTGGGTACCTCTTTTCAACTGCTCTCATATTGAAGAATCTAGACCTTGGCTGCAAAAAAGTACACAAGTACGTACACAATGTTCTAGCCAAATAATGAGGGGTAATGAACGCTATCTTCTCCCAAGGGCCCGGCTAAGTCCGGCTCCGAGAAAGGACTACGTACATAATTCGACCGGCAAATCAGAGTCCTGCATGGCTTTCTCCATGGCGTGATCCCCTGATCGTAGATTGGATGATATCACAACATCAGAGTCAAATATGGGTCGACTATGGGGTTAATTCCCCATTAGGCGACACAAGCTGAAAAAGTGGCTCCCAAGGTTCGAGCAATCACTCCCAAATAAGCACGAAACTAGTGAGCTCTAGAGATGCTAGCTTCTCCGTGCCACGACCATTGGCCCCTGCTCGTCTTGCTCGTCCACCATGTTGTCATTGAGGGGTTTATGGAGTTTATGGAGGGGAGAGGGGCGATTCTCTTCGATTCCATTTGTTCCTGGCGAGAGATAAATATAGCGCTCGCCTTCTGTTGGGGTAAACATTGTACCCCTATAAATCATCACTATATCCTCTTGCTTCCGAGATCAATTCATCCTCTCAATCCGAACATAACCCAAATCCCCTAAAACAACCCCTCCAAAATGTCTTACCGCAACGAGTCCGACAGCTACGGCAGTGGCAACCAGAGCTCCGGCTACGGTGGCAACGACTCCTCTAGCTACGGCAACAACAATGATTCCTCCAGCTACGGCAGCGGAAACAAGTCCAGCTCTGGTCGCAACCAGGATAGCTATGGCAGCAGCAACAATGACTCCTCCAGCTACGGCCGCGGCAACAACGACTCTTCCAGCTATGGCAGCGGAAACAAGTCCAGCTCTGGTCGCGATCAGGACAGCTACGACAGCAGCAACACCAGCTCTGGATCCAAGAAGGACAGCTACGGAAGCAACAACGACTCTTCCAGCTATGGCAGCGGAAACAAGTCTAGCTCTGGTCGCGATCAGGACAGCTACGGCAGCAGCAACACCAGCTCTGGATCCAAGAAGGACAGCTACGGAAGCAACAACGACTCTTCCAGCTACGGTGGCAACTCCAAGAAGGATAGCTACGGCAGCAGCAACAACAACGACTCCTCCAGCTACGGTGGCAATGACTCCAGCTACGGCAACAAGTCTAGCTCTGGAAACAAACAAGACAGCTACGGTAGCAGCAACAACGACTCTTCCAGCTACGGTGGCAACTCCAAGAAGGATAGCTACGGCAGCAGCAACAACAACGACTCCTCCAGCTACGGTGGCAATGACTCCAGCTACGGCAACAAGTCCAGCTCCGGAAACAAGCAAGACAGCTACGGTAGCAGCAACAACGACTCTTCCAGCTACGGCAACAAGTCCAGCTCCGGAAACAAGCAAGACAGCTACGGTAGCAGCAACAACGACTCTTCCAGCTATGGTGGCAACTCCAAGAAGGATAGCTACGGCAGCAACAACGACTCCTCTAGCTACGGTAACAGCAACGACTCTTCCAGCTACGGCGGCAACTCCAAGAAGGACAGCTACGGAAGCAACAATGACTCGTCTAGCTACGGCAACAACTCTTCCAAGAAGGATAGCTACGGCAGCAACAACGACTCCTCCAGCTACGGCAACAACTCTAGCTCTGGATCCAAGAATGACAGCTACGGCAGCAACAACGACTCTTCCAGCTACGGCAACAACAACAATTCCTCCAGCTACGGCAGCGGAAACAAGTCTAGCTCTGGTCGTGACCAGGATAGCTACGGCAGTAGTAAAAATGACTCCTCCAGCGGCAGCATTGGTAGCAAGATCCTGGACAAGGCTCAAGGTTCGTGATCCTTATTTCTGCTGAAAGACTTCGAGAATTATATGCTAATCTAGGTATCACTTTAGATTACCTGAAGAAGGACAGTGGTTACTAAACTCCTCCGCTGTCAAATATGGCAACTAGTGTAATTGGGGATTTTGCTGGGATATGTTGCTCGGAAGCTAGTACCTACTGAGGCACAACATACAATTTTTCTATTATTTACGGATCAAGAATATAAGAATAGTCGGCTGTTTGTGCGGCCTTAACATGTCTTTTTAGATGTTCTTCTTAGATGTATTTTTAGGTGTATAGGTGAGGTCAAAAATAAACGGGATGAATATAAATTATCTCCTTAAAGATAAAAAGAAAAAGATGCTCAAAAAGCGAGGGCCTCATAACCTATTGTGGCGTCCATAATATAAGGGCTAGTAAGAGAGGAGGGAGAGAGTTTATTGCGAATAAGAGCGATCTACCCTTGGACTGTCTACTCTGGCGAGGGCCGAAGTCCACCACAACAACTTGTCCTACAGAGCAACCAAGCGGAGGCAGAAGATTGCTAGATAGGCTCGATGCTCGATGAGCAGCCACCAGAAGGTTTTGTAATTTTCTGAACAGCTACCTATAAAGTATAATCTAAGATTCAAGTCGCACGGGTAATAAGATATAGAATCTCGTCTGAGAATGACTATCCGCACACCCTTAGCGTCAGTTTTTACTAACCGCATACCCCTAGTCCATTTTGGGTATAGTATTTCTTAGTCAACCATTTGTCATGCTCTGTGTATTATAACATGGTATTCCCATAGTAAATGACACATTTATCACATGACCTTTGACCTTGCATAGCCCTACCCTCCCCACATTGACAATTCCACCTTACCATAATTAATTCAATTCCACTTTTGAAGCTATTCACAGATCATGGATCCCTACTATGAAGCATCACCCCTCCCTACCGAGACCTACGAACCATGGGATTCCGCCCCCCCAGTCTATCGATTCGCCTCTTCAGAAGAAGCCCTTCTTACCCTCAACAATTAGGCCGCCACCGAGGGCTTCTCTATCGTATGCGACCGTACGAAACCAGGGAGGAAGTGCTGGTTAAAATGTAGTTTGACTCCATCGAAAAGAGCCCCAGTCCCGGAGGAAAAGAGACAGCGGAAGCGATTCCGGCCCGCAACAAAGTGCGATTTATACAGTATGTATACAAATTGAGATCTATGAATAGCTTCAAAAGTGGAATTGAATTAATTATGGTAAGGTGGAATTGTCAATGTGGGGAGGGTAGGGCTATGCAAGGTCAAAGGTCATGTGATAAATGTGTCATTTACTATGGGAATACCATGTTATAATACACAGAGCATGACAAATGGTTGACTAAGAAATACTATACCCAAAATGGACTAGGGGTATGCGGTTAGTAAAAACTGACGCTAAGGGTGTGCGGATAGTCATTCTCATCTCGTCTAGACCTTGAACTCTATACTTGTTTGGTTCGCAGACTCGATAAAATCAGTTCAGTCAAATACTTCCTCTGCCGCTGTAATATAATTTAACGAATTCATTTGATGAGATCTTCTATAGTATTATTCCCGAGTAGAGCACCGTATTCTACTACAAGGCCGAGGAGAAGGTGACTATAGGCAAAATTGTGGTTTGTTGCTTTGGAGGCTTGTGTAGGTTACATTATATATACTCTAGAGCTTGGTTGGCGAGCTAAATTTTAAATAACTCTCCCGAACTTCATAGACCTTCAATGCCCTGTATAGTTAGTGATGCAATAATGATAGTGAGACTAAGGTAAGCGACAAATAACCAAAGTTCAATATTTCCCACGAAAATAACTTCAAGATCACCAAGAAGTCAGACAGCCAAGATGACCTCAACCCTGGCTGACATCTTCCAACGCTCTTGTGTATCATGCGGGCTAATCATCGCGTCAACCCCTTCGTTTTTAAGTGCGCCAGTCCTTCTTCTGTGAATCTGCTGCTTGTTGGAAGTACTTGCTAATTGGTGCTTAGTTCATTTGACTGCATCTGGTGTTCAGCGGACTGACGTCTCTGGGGGTGCAAGCGAATATGAAGGAAGATGGGACGAGGTTTACAGATTACTAGAGAGCTCCCCGCCAAATCCGCCAGATGGATTTTTGATTCATAGGCGTTGTTGGGTGCTTCTCTCGAAACAGTTCAAAAGTGGCGAATTGAGCCTGGAGAGGTTACTCGAAACCCTAAGAGAAAGTCCCTGGCAATCGCATAACGATATTCAGACCAGTAACATGCGTGAGTCCAGGTGATCGTTCCATTGTATCATAGCAAAGAAAGTCAATTTTTATTTTTCTAACGTTGGCCTATATCGCAGGCTTTGCATCTAACCCGCCGAAATTCAATCAATGCTTCCGGAACGCGGGGTTTCGCGCAGCTGCTCAGGCCTTGCCAGTCATGGATGGAGGATATGTTCTACGTGGAAATTCTGCGAATGAACACCACTTTGAACGGATTCCACTTGAAATAAGATTGGAAATTGCAACTTATCTATCAACAGTGGACTTCCTCAACCTACGATTCTGTTCAAGGGCAATGGCAGATATCTTCGAAGATCAAGCGTTCTGGAAAACAAGGTTTTTTATACATGGCGATAGAGGTTACCTTGCCTTTCTTACCGAAGATATCCAGCGTGCAAGAGACTGGCGACTGGTTTACCGTTGTACTCACAACCTTTCTAAATTACACCCTGAGCTCGGATATAGAAGACAGCATTGGCGCAATAACAAATGGCTGAGAGATGTCTGTATCATGACCAGAGAACAGAATCTTCGATTGCACACTCAACTTGGCAATATAGAGTCTCTACAATGGAAAAAAGCTGCTGGGAAGATAAGTTGCCATAGGGGAACTTGGGGATTGCTAAATGGAGCTAATCGAAAATTGTGTTCAGGGTGCTTTGCCCATCATGAACCATCGACTCAATCGGTTCCCTTCTCTAGGGATATTGTGGGACTCGCTATCTCTGTTCTTTCAGACCCTCGCTCACCCCCAGACTCCAGACTCACTTATGTCGCCGGCTTGGAGCTTATTTATCCTAGTGATAAGCCAAACACCGTTCTTGGATATCGTCTTCCGGGAAGTCGAATTATGATTGATCTTCAAGAAAGGCCACTTAAGGGATTCGAGGTGATGATTGGAGAAGGAGGTGTTCGCGCAATCCTTCCGCTTTTCGAGAAAATGAACAATTGGATTGGCAAGCCCGTTGATAGATCGGTGGATTTCCGCGGACCCGTGCGGATTTCAACGGACAATGAGATATTAGGCCTTTCGGTGGATTTCGATGTAAGTCGTGCTAATCGCCAGCCTGTTCAGATTCTTGTGAATGTCATACTAATAGTAATGCCTACAGTATTGCAAACTCATAGGACTAGCAATAGCAACTGACAAATTGCATTCCTAGCTGGACTCAAATCCTACTAATCAAGGGCTCTGGCTTTAATAGAGATTGGCTGGTGTAGTTGGAGAGCTGACCATGTGAGGGAATTCAACTCTTATAGGTCAAGATCTGGATGTTTTTCTTTTAGCTGCGTGTTTAGCTTGTTGTGTGAAATTTCAATATCTTCTGTCAGATTTCTCAGTCTCTCGGTAGTTAACTTCTTCAACAATCTATCAAGCTCACATTGAACCATGCACTTTGACGTCCACCACGTAGACCTCTCCTAACAGGTTATGAGCCCCTGGATGCTCTATTCAACCTCCATCGGCCCCTCCATCGACGCCGTCGTCACCATCGTCACCATCGTCCCCATCGACATCGACATCGACATCGACATCACCGGCTAGGCCACGCCTACAAACACCTACAAACGGTATCACCGTCATCAAAACAAACAAACGCGCATAGGTTCTCAGCCCTTATCAAGCGCTATCATCCCAAACAAAGTGCCTCTCCATTCGACGTATAACCCCATCCGCTAACCACGCGGCCAAGTGCCTCTCTATTCGTATCTATACAACAGTCCAGTACCTCTCTATTCGACGCACACCACCACAGTAACAAGTGCGTCTCTCTTCGACGCATATCTCTATCCGCTACCCACGCGGCCAAGTGCCTCTCCATTCGACGCACCTACACAACAACCAAGTGCCTCTCTTTCAACGTACCATAACTTCAACAAGTGCCTCTCCTTCGACGCACCTCTCCATCCGCCAGCTAACGCGGTCAACATTCCTACTACTACAAACAAGCCCACCACAGCCAATGCTCTTCTTAGCAACCATATCGCACGCTACAACAACCTTTTCGACAACTAGGTTTGCTTCGTGGGGGGTCATCACGAGTCCATGGTTCCATGTTCGTGGAGGGTGTCAGATTTCTCAGTCTCTCAGTAGTTAACTTCTTCAACAATCTATCAAGCTCACATTGCACCATGCACTTCGACGTCCACCACGTAGACCCCTCCTAGCGTCTTCTTTTCCATCGTTACGTTTACATTCGTATCTATTCCCCTGTTGCTTCTGCTTCACCAAATGCTGCCCACGGGTGCTTTCCATGCCCAGGCTCCAAGCAAATCGCTGATTCCCACACTCCAGGGCTACCATGGGTAGTGCTAACGATGGCCATCTTCAACCTACCTGGAGTAACCAGTCCTATGTACTGCTGCGTATATGATAAGAGAGTTCTACATGATGTATGGTGTGATATGAGTATTGGGTAGCTGAAGAAGCTATGTTCTATACAATGGATTTGACACCGCCCTACGAATATAAAACCATGTATCTAAGTGTCCCCCCGAATAGTCCGCCCTCTTTTCTGAACCTAGGCGGCAAACGGGTTGTTTTTACGTATTATAGAGCTCCCGGTGATGCGCAATCGCTGTAGTAGCACCGTTGAGAATAGAGGGGCACGTTGTTTATTGAGACCGCTGGCTAGTGTTGGAACTGCGTAGGTGACACCGTTTGTAGGTGGGTGTGGCCTAGCTTGTTGGTGTGTGGCCAAGAGAGGCGCTGATATCGACGATGACGATTAAGATGGGACAATGGATTTGATGGGGCGGCCTATAGAGCGTAGAAAGGAAGGTTAAATGAATAGAGCTTCAGGGCTTATACATGTCAAGAGAGGTCTACGTGGACGTCGAGATGCATGGTGTAATATGAAATGGTTGATCGAGTAGGTGGTTAAAGAAGTTAAGTTCTAGACTATTCTTAGAGAGAAGCAGTAGGTGTAACTGGAAAGCTCTAGATTGCGCTAGGAGAGAAGAGAAGACTAAGGTATGTGGTCCCGAGATCAAGTGCCTAGTAAGGCTGCACCAATCCAGTAGAGTTTTGATTGATTGATTGATTGATTGATGCCATTTACCTAGGTAGATATCCGTGTCTTATTCGTAGAAAGAGAGCTCAATGAGCATTGTAATGCCACGTCCATAAATTCGGATATCACAGTCAGCATACTCAATATGATTCTTCGCACGCAGGTTGCTTGATACATCAAATTCTTAGGACAAGTATCTTCCAGTTAAACCTACAATTCTCATACATTGACCAGATAAACACACATTGATTCAGTGAGTATCAAACTCTGGAGGATACTCGGCCCTTACATGGTGACTTCGATGCTAACATCAAAACAATAGCCCTGTGTCAAGTTGAGAACATCAAGCCATGGCAGTAAGTCTCTGAAGTGTCAAGCAGAAATGTGCTTAAGACTAACCTTGCTAGTACGCAACACACCCTGTGATTCGTTCCTATATGGACGATGTCACGCCGAATTGCAAGGAAGACAAAGTTGATAACATGTGGCTAAATATTGCCCAATTTTACTTCCCTCTACGGGACAACTTCGGGTGCGAGCGAGAAGCTAGGATAGGTGAGTATTCGAGAATAAAATCAAACGTGACAGTTAGCTTGGTACGCAATGGAAGGAAAGCAAAAGTCCTGTTTATCGAAAACAAACGACCATCGAAAGCGAAGGGCGGGCCCAAAAGGTCTTCTTGGGAGCGTGCGAAATCTCAGTTACTAAATTATATGCTGAGGGAGAGACACGTGCAGCCCGACTTGACCGGAGATCTACGGAGTATGGGGAATGGTTTGCGTGGGGTTCAGGACCGAGTTTTTTGTGCTACGTGATGGGAATCAAGTACTTGAGAACTATGGTGATGGTCAGACTTTGATATCCAATCAACAGTGCCAGGATATCGAAACCATGCTGTCAAATATCCGTCGTGATATTCGTGCTTCTCGCAGGCAATGAGGAATGAGGGACGAGCGTTATCGATGGTTATCACCGCCCGGACTCCGCCAAAGTTTATTGACAACATCCATTCTACATCACCTCCCACCTCCCCTCTTCCATGCTTTAACAAGAGCCATTCGTCAAAATGTGGCTCCAGCCGGCGCTCTTTTTCTCCGCGTGCTTATCGACCGCGGCGGCCATCTACTCTGACGAGGTTAACCATATTGACTTCCACCACGCTCTCCTCGGCACCCCATCCCCCGACTCGACATTCTTCCTCAAGCCATCCACATCTTCAAATGCCTCCCTCCTTTACACCCTATCCGACAAGCTCCTTGTGGGGGCCGTGAACCCCCCGCGATGGCACGCTGGTATGGCGCCAGAACATCTCGCGGTCGGCGGACTCGCCCTCACATGGGGTGGGTCTCTTGCGCGGTTTAGATGGAAATGATGCCGTTGTAGCTACGATGGGTAACTACATCGCATCTTGGGGTGCCCAAGATGGAAAATTGGGATGGGAGAATCAGGTTTCACAGGGTGCGGTTGCCGATCTTGAGCTGTTGGAGCTTGTGGATGCTACCGCGACCTTCGGGGTGAGAGACACGATTGCTGTGATTGCTAGTGAGGGCACCGGAATTGTGAGACGTCTGGATGGAAACACTGGAAAGTCGGTGTGGGAATTCAAGGATGCAAGGTCGGTTTTGTCTTCGACCTTTTTTTGACAAGTCGCAAGCTAATGAGTTGTTCTGCTAGTGGCGACCTTCCGTTCCAAGTGTCGTCTTCTTCCACCGAGATCTTCTATATCTCACTCCAGTCGGGTATGCTGAAGGGCTTCAAGATCAAGGTCACTGTTTTGGACCCATTGACTGGACAACAAATTCGTCAACAGATTCTGAACTCCGAGGCTGATGTAGCTACCTCGGAGTCCGTCCTCTATGTGGGCGCTAATTCCGCCTCGCCTATCATCGTCTGGGCCGACAAATCGCAAAAGTCCCTGAAGGTCAATGTTATTGGTACCAAGGAAATCACCTCTATTGCCATTGACAATACCACTGGCTCCGAAATTCGAAAGATCACAGTCCACGCTCCCCAACATCTTAACGCCTTGCCCCATTTCTTGGTCCACTTTGAAACCGAGTCCGGGGCCTGGGCTGAGGTTTACCATGTGGACTTGGTGTCTGCTAAGGTCACCAAGGCTTACAGGCTGCCCTATCTGCCCGGCCAGTCGGCGGTCGCGGCCAGTGTCATTGACGCTAATGTCTATTTCACTCGAATCACGGACCAGGAAGCCACTGTTGTATCATCCGCCTCTCATGGAATTCTGGGACGATGGGATCTGCAGAAGCCTTCTTCTAACATTGCCCTTCACTCAGTATCCGAGGTTGTTGCTAAAGGAAAATCTGTGGCTGTTAGGTCAGCGCTTTTCCGGAAGCACGGAGATTGGCAACTTATCCGAAATGGCCAGATCGAGTGGACTCGGCACGAGGGTCTTATTGATGCTGTCGCAGCTACCTGGGCGGAAACTGATACTCAAGAGGATTTAGCTCATGAGCTGGAGATCGAGGGCCACGACACTTTGTACGGCGCGTACCTACACCGGGTGAAGCGTCATGTCCGGGACTTGGAACATCTACCCGACTGGCTCAAGGATCTTCCTAAGCGCATTCTGAGCAGTATCTTGACTGACGAAGTGTCCAACCTGGACAGCTTTGGTGTTGCCAAATCAGTTATTGTCGCCACCAAGAACGGCCATGTGTACGCCTTGGATACTGGAAACCACGGCGCCGTTTCGTGGGGCATCCAGGCAGTGGAGACATCGCAGTGGAATGTGAAAGCTATTTTGGCTTCACCAGGAGTCGCGACCATCTACTCCGACGACGGAAGCTCTGTGACTGTGGATGTGTCGACCGGAGAGATTGTTTCACGCATCGAATCATCTAACAGCAAACTCCACTCGATTGCTGTCTTCGGGGCGCAGGATGGAAGTTCGCTGGCTACAGTCGGTGTCAGTGAAGATGGTACCCCAATCACTGCATTTGCCGACGAAGATGGGTTCTTGGTAACCACCAGCGTTGATGGCCGAGTCCTCGGCTGGGTTGCAAAGGATAACAAAACTCCTGTGTGGGAATTTGTTCCCCCTCCGGACAGAAGGTCGTCGAAGCGACCGCTCGCCCTGCCCATGATCCTGTTGCATCTATCGGCAGAGTCCTTGGAAACCGCTCGGTCCTTTACAAGTACCTCAACCCCAACCTTGCCCTGGTGACTGCAGTGAACGAGCAGACCCACACCGCCAGTTTCTACCTTCTAGACGGAGTCTCCGGAAAGGTGCTTCACGCAGTTACCCAAGCGGGCGTGGACTCCAAGCAGCCCATCGCATCCGTGATGTCCGAGAACTGGTTCGCCTACTCATTCTGGGGCGACGTTGACGGCAGTGAGTCGTCCGCCAAAGGCTACCAACTAGTCATCTCGGAACTCTACGAATCTCCCTTCCCCAACGACCGCGGTGTGCTTGACTCTACCACCAACTACTCCAGCACCGCCACCCTCCCGTTGCCCCACGTCATCTCCCAGGCCTTCATGATCCCCGAACCCATCTCCCACATGGCCGTCACTCAAACGCGCCAGGGAATTACCACCCGCCAGCTTCTCTGCACTCTACCCTCCTCCAACTCTCTCGTTGGCATTCCTCGCCCCGTCCTTGACCCCCGCCGCCCTGTCGACCGTGACCCCACCACGGCTGAGGCCGAAGAAGGTCTGTTCCGCTACGCGCCCTACCTAGACTTCGATGGTAAATGGTACCTCTCGCATACACGCGATGTCGCCGGCATCAAGGCCGTGCTCTCTTGCCCTACCCTGTTGGAAAGCACCAGTCTTATCTTCGCTTACGGAAGCGATATTTACGGTACCCGAGCCACGCCCAGCCAGGCATTTGATATCCTTGGCAAGAGCTTCTCCAAGCTGCAGCTCGTTCTCACTGTCGTGGCACTCGGAGCGGGTGTCACTGTTTTGGCTCCGATGGTAAGTTTTCTGTCTAGTTCTTTTCTCCGGGCACATTTGCTAATTATCTTCTCTAGACTCGGAGGAAGCAGGTTAATGCCCTGTGGAGGGCTTAGGCCTTCTAGGCTCATATACCAGATATCCCATTGTGCTTTAGACTGTAATACATACTTTGCCTGTCGAACTTTCCAGTAGCAAACATACTAAAAACTCGCATCCCACTGCGAACATTGGTCACACTGTACTGAAGTCAAGTGGATGTGCTCGAAAGAAGCTGCAGTCTGATGTTTATACAGAGAGTCATCGGTCATGGGAAACATTTCATTCATTCGTAGACATAATATCCAAGAGATTCAACGTCATATCAACAGTATAACAAAAGAAAACAAGACCAACCAATATCAACAATCCTCCGCAACTGTACAGGCTTGATATGTACTGAATTTCCAACCCAAAAGAAATCAAATCGCCAATAAAGCCAATATCAATACAACGGCATAGGCGACGAATTGACATAATCAACATTGTGCTCAACAGACTCAATGCGATCAGTACAAGTCCCAAAAATCCGATCCCAAAGCCTCGTCTGCTTCCCATAATTATGACTCTTCCTCCAACCCTTCCGATGATGCAAATCATGATCCTCAATAACAAGCTCCGCATCAAACCAACGCAAAGCCCAACTCAACGTCGACGGCGGCGTAGCATGAACCCGCAACCCACTATGCCCCGCCAACTCCGCAAACACCACATACTGATGACAAACCCACCATTCATAGAACCCCATCGGCAGCCCCATAAACCGCATACTGAAATAAGTCATAAGTGGGATACCAAGGATATCAAAAAAACTCCTGCTCCGTATCCGCGTATAGCGTTAACAACGGGTTCGGGTGCTTCGTTAGGTGGTGGGTGCGGTGGTATTTCCACAACGCACCGACATCGTGCATCACCCGGTGGTACCAGTAGAACCAGAAATCGAGGATGATCCCGTACAGCCCGGCTTCGAGGGGCAGCCAGACGAAACTCATGGTTGAGGGCGGGTGTGTTGCGTGGTATGCGATGAAGACGGTAAACATTGGACGGAAGGTACTTGTCGACAAGAGCGAGCGGACGACCTTTGCGACGCCGACGTCTGGGACGCCATCGCGAGCGTGCTTATCGCCATCTAGGAAGCCATGCTGGTGTCCTAGACGTCGGAGGACGTGAAGTTCGTGGATGGCGATTGCTTTGAACCCGACGCCGTATAGGAAGAAGGCGCCCCAGGCGCTGAGGTTGTGGCCGGTGAACTCCACGTAGGCGTGGTGTATAAGGAGGGGGATGGCGGCGTGCGTGAGTACCCAGCGGTGCATGGACCAGTCGGGCACGTAGGGCACGGCGTCTTCCTTTAAATGAATGGGGATGTTCTTGTCGAGATGTTCTGGGTGGATGCCGAGTAGTTCGTAGAACCAGTGGAAGAGAGTCCATTCTGAGCGGGCTTGGTGCCGCCAGGTGGACTTCATCGAGTCCTTTGCATTACGATTCATGGCTAATTCGTTAACTGGATAAGGGGGTCGAAATTCACAACCTCACCTCAATATAAACCCCTAGGTACGGGGGTGGATTGGTGGGTTTTAATCCCCAGTCGTTCGGGCATTGGCGCGACGACACTCGGCACATGTGAAGAAAGCCCACTTCTTTCATGCTCCCCGCAAAATGAGCCTCGGACGTTTGGCTAGATTGGAGCATGGCGTCGATCATATCTTGTCTTGGACTCTTTCCCAACAACATGGCCGTTTTAGCGCGTTAACTAGCGCTTGGGCTCAACATGGTTGCCTCATATTCTTGTTTCGGGCTCATTCGGGAATGATATCATGATACGAAGAAATTCATGAGTAAATTCTGTTTCTTTGGCTAATCAGGATCTGATTCTAGATGTCCAACGTATTCGGTCGTATAGATGTGGGTGTGGAGACATTGCCCTGTCGAGTCATGTGGTCAACCAAAGCCCTTATTCCTAATTGGTCAACTTACATACATCCGACTGAGCCCTGAAGGTTCCTATGTTGTAGATATTTCATGATCTTCTATTGAGACTGGTTTATAATATAAAGCTAGACACAAGTCGTATTCTATCCTTCTAAATATATCATTGAGGAAGGACATCTAAAAAGACATATAAAAATATATATATATTGTTATCTTGAATAATATAACATCTCCAATAGTGTCATGTTATGCACTATATATATCGGAGCCTGGTCTATCTGAGCATAATGCTCAGATATATATAGACGTATAGATCCTCCCGTATATCGATCCTTCGCTGCTGGGTCTCCTCTCTTGGTTTGTGCCGCGATATAGCCGTGGAGTAGCTCTATCTAACACGATATTCTAATATAATGGAATGTCTTCTCTTATATTGACGTCGTCTTGGGAGAACCCATACACATATATAAATGTTGAGAAGATAAAACCAGAAAACACATACCTAAATATGTTATTGATAATATGCAATAGATGCGTGTGCAACCACATGAAATCTCCTACATACTTTGTAATACAAACCAGGCAGACAGCTATCCACGAACAAAAACACATAGAAAGAAATATGCCTCGGTATTGAGATCTGCCTATCTTGTGCTATATCACATGGCTACAGTATGTCCAAACACAAACCCCAACACGATTATTCCTGCCGCCTATATTTCTATGTGCTCTATGCGGCAACAGTATTCTTTGTCTCATCCACAGCTAACTGATTGACCTTAACCGCCACATCGTCAATAGTCTTCTCACTATCGTCTACATTAGTCTCTGCACCATTAAGCGGCGCCTTCTCTGCGGAATCCGCGGAGTTGGCCTCCGACTCAACTGAAGCCTGCGTCTTCGGGATGGGAACGATTTCCCTCCTCTCCTTTCCATCCACAGTGCCCAGCACCTGGAGGTGATCAGCGTTGAACAACACAGGGCCCTTGAGGATATCCTTCCGTGTCTGGCCGTTGGCGAGAGGTTGCTCGATGCCGCGGAGCAGTTCACGGCTGGGATCGTCCAGGTTAGGCATCTCGCCCCACGACCAGTCCAGGTCGCCGCCGTATGACTTGGGGATGCTGGATGGCTCCATGAAGGAAGTGAGAGTGGGCTCGACCTCTGCGGCGGAGAGAATGAAGATCTTCGAGGTGGTTCCGGGGTCGAACCAGCGCTTGATCCAGCCCCAGACGGTTGGGAAGAATGCGGGTGCTCCGATAATCTAACAGTGGGTTAGTTCCACGAATCTTCTCTTCAACGGCAAAAGCCCCCCGGACGGAGTAGACCGGCGATTAGACAACATACAAAGATTCGATCTAATGTCTCGGGGTAATGGGCCGTGGCCAAAACACTAGCATCCTGCATATGACTCTTCAAGTTCCAGAACTGCTTCAGCCCGACACCGCTGACATCCACGATATTGGTCGAGGTCACGATAGGCGTCTCCGGGTTCGGACGTGGCAGTGCCGAGGCAAGCGGCATCACGAACCGGAGAAGGTTCTCATACAAAGCGAAGAGGTTCAACAAACGCGCAGGGACTGTGGATGATTTGTGGGTTTCGGGTGTACCACTAGTCATGGTGGAGTTGTAAGCGGCGACGGCCTTGTTATCCAGGTGGCGGATCTGGAAGACGTAGACAGGGATTCCGCGACGATCGCGACGGCCTGTCCATTGGGGATACTGTAGAAAGAGTAAACGTCAGCAACGGGATCTGGTTGTTCGTTTGGAAACGATTATAAGACGCACCATCCGTCGAGCGGCCTCGTATGAGTCCACGCTGATATTCTCATATAGCTTCTCAATGGCGTTGTCTTTGCGCCAGTCTTCGGTGTCTTTGAATTGGGCCCATGCGCCCTCGACATCAAACCTGCGAGCTCGAAGGAATCGCCTGCGCAAATAATCAATGTGGTCAGCACTCGATCATCCTGTTTCATTCATTCCATTGCTAGCTGTATTGGGGTCTAGTGTGGACGCGCCACATACAGTAAAGTCGCATCGTCCTGGCTGGCGGGCTTCGCCTCGACGCCGTCTGCTTGTTCCACAGCAGGGGTGTAGTATTTACGCTCAGCGCACAATGCCTTAAATTCCTGCAGCTTCTCCTCCTGCTCCGGGGTAAGGTGGTGCAAGTGTCCGGTGAGCCATGCGGTGCCAGAAGCTTGTGAGGCGGAAGTGGCGGGATCGTTCTTCGAGGAATCGGTGCGCGCCAGGTCCGGCTCGGAGTCCTGCGGAGTTTTGTTGCCCCAAAACATGGTGAACTCTTATCTCATAAGTTTTGTTTACTTTTTTGAAGGAGAGATCGACCTTATAAAACAGATCTCGGAATTGGCGGAGGGAAAGAGGCGGTGAAATATACCTGACGGTGGTTGGTCCCGGGGTCGGTGCTTTTTCTGGGGGGGTTGATTCTATTTTGTGATACATCGTATACATCTCTCTTTCCTATCACACATTTTGGGGGTGGAGGGGGCAGATTTAGGTGAGATTTAGGTCTATTTTGAGAATGTTGAATGTCGTTGAGATATATTTCTGCCAAAGCATATCTGCCGAAGTACATCGTAGACCCATCGATCAACAAAGCTAATCGGCAGGATCAACCAAGGTAGGCCAGCCCTGGTAATGGACAGCCCTGGTAATGGATAGGGAGATGTCATGAAAAAACACAAAAATGCAATAAAATTCTGGCCAAAATTAAACCAAGCACCCATATCTCAGTATACACGGCACAGATGCTAATCATAGAGCCAACCCCAACAATATCTGTACAGATCGCCCTCATACAGCTCAATATTCAAATAAATACAAAGATAATTAGTCCTCGGTCAGATCACCGTACTCCCACATACCGCGGCGCTCAGACTTAGCCTCGTCCTCAAGTGTGCGCAGGTTGGAGAGGGTATCGACGGAGGCGCGCTCCCACGCCTTCAGCTTGCGGGGTACCATAGCCATACCCTCATGAACGATGTCGGCGTTGATGCTGTTGTCCAAGTTCTTGGAAGCCGAAGGGTCGAGGAGAGTGACGTGCAGGGTACCGTCCTGGTCAACGTGGTCAACGTTGGCGACGAGCTGGCGGTCGAAGGTCTGGTCGCCGACGAAGCCGACGGCGTCCTCAAGGTAATCCTCGGAGGTGGGGAATTGCAGGAGAGAGAGGACTGCATCAACGGCCTGGGGGCGGAGGGTCTGGCCAGAGAATTGGGGTTGGGTGAGAGGGCGAAGCGATGCCCATGGCAGAATCTCGGAGTTGCCGTAGTCGATGTAGACTACCTCGGCCTGCTCCTTCTCGCGGTCGTTGCGGCGCACCTTGGCGCGGTACCAGTCACCATCTTCGGTGAATTGGGCGGCAACCCAGTCGCCGGCCTTGGGAGGACCAGGCAGCGGGGTGTCGTTGGCCTTGTTAATGTGGAATGTGCGGAAAGCGCTCATCAGCTCGGTGAGCGCGTTCGTACCGGTGCCAATCTGTTGCAGCTTGAGCTTGGCGGAGGTAGGGTCGATGTAGGTAACCATAACATCGCGGTAGTCCTTGCGACGCTGAGCGAGAGCGGCATCGCTCTCAGTGCCAGTTGCGGCGCCATTGGCAGCCTCGGCCTCTTCAGCCTCAGCAGCCTCCTTGACGGGGTCCCAGTCGTGCCACAAACCCTTGCGGGCATCCTTCGCCCGCTGTTCAGCAGCGAAATACTCGTTGGCGTGACCAGACTGCTCAGCGGAGTATGCATGAACGGTGGCGAAACCCTCCTCCAGCAGAACGGTTGTGAAATTCTCCTTGTTGATGTAAAGGCTGCCGATGAATCCGCCAACCTTGTCAATGGTCTCAACGTCAATCTCAACATCGCGCTGCATGCAGCGGCGGTTGGCAAGATCGTGGGCCTCCTGACCGAAAGGCTCACCGGCGTCGCTGGGCCCGCGGGAAGATCGAGGGGCACGGATGCCGGAAAGGACGAGAGTCAGTTTGGCGTTGTCACGGGGAACTAGAACAGTGAAGCGGGAGCCAGACTTGACAAAGTCGACGACAGCCGGAACACGCTTTTGACGCTGCAAGATACCAAGCTCCAGCTTGGCTTTTTGTACGCTCTCTGAGTAATCTACCACCTGCTTCGCCTTGGGAGCCTTGGAAGACCACATTCCACGGCCTTCCGTCTGGGCATCGGCCTCAGCGGCGAGGAGCGCATCGTAGTCGGGAGACCGGTCAGCGTCGTCCATACGGTGGCGAATTACAGAGGAGTAACCAGCCTCCACAAGAGCTAGACCAACATTGGTGTTACCATGCACAACAGTAGCCACCTCGCGCTCCTCGTAGCCCTCGTTTGCAGGCTTCTTGCCGTTCACAGTGACCATGACATGCTTGGCGATCACCCGCTTGCGCAGGTACTCCTTCGCCTCAGCAGCATAGGGAGACTGATTGGGGTCGGAGGGCTTGGGCTGACGGATACTGGCGAGACTGATCTTCTTCTCCTCACCAGCCTTGTTGCGGATGAATAGGGTATCCGCATTCAAAACACGGGTGACAACGTAGTCCACAGCCGCGGCA